CCGAAACAATTGTCAAATATTTTACGGTGTCAGCAAACTGCAATGCTAAAGATTTAGTAAGATAGCTCTTGAATTGATAAAATGTATCAATTCCCTCTGATTATCATTATTCCTGCTGCATATCGAAAAGGAAGAAATACAAGTAAACCGCCAAAATTGCCTAGCAAGTCCTTGATTTTACTAATAAGGTTTAACCTTGTCTTACATACTGGTAGCAGCTGAACTTCATCTCTTTCGGTTAGCTAATATTATTTGAAGTGTCACAAGATATACATAGCACCAGAAAAAGTCAAGTCTCTGAAATGTTATCAATCAACACAGATTCCTATATAGGCCAAAAGCTATAGGTTCACTACCGCCATTTATAATGCCATAACAAGAATATAGAGGAACACCGCAGTCTGTCTTATTCTAATTATGAATTATCATAGAGCCCCGATCCAACTGTGTTTCTAGGAAGAGATGATAGGCACGTGAAAACAATTATATGAATAGCATAACAGTGGTCAAGTCGGATGGCGATGAAGGGAGTAACATGCCGTCGCGAAATCTTTGTCTCTGTCATATCATATTTATCTCTTATAGGCCACTCGATCCTGAAAATTTTGAACTGTGATGTATTTATATGATCATAGTACTCCTATTGCTACACATTGGTCCCGGTCTGAAAGTCCTGCCATCAGATCTCTTTGTTTAGAGCAAAGGAGACGTAATTGTAGGAATTGAGAGATATTTACAGTATATGTTGGTAGCTCCCTAGAGAACTGAAACGACGTCCAAAAATGCGAAGCTCTTTCACGTGGATTTCCGATGCCAAGGGGTCTTACTAAATAGCTCGTGCGGAAGTCTAACGGCAGCCTATCAACGATCGGAAGATGCCGACACAGAGCTTCCGAATGACTCACATGTTTTATTGTCTTAGAATACCCGCATATAAACATGGCTTGATAGAACTATTCTCGGGCGATTGGGGCCTCAAAACAGATCCTTCTCTGCAAATACCAAGCGTCCCTCCGGCTTATTCTGAGCCCTCATCTGGCGTAAAGCCACCCGCCCACGGAAACTATATCATTCCAGAACATTTGTTAGGTGCCCGCACTTGCGAGATGTCCTCAGAGTACAACGTTCTCGTCACTGGCTCAGCTGGCCATCTAGGCACGGCTCTAATGCTTTGCCTGCCTTCGATGGGCTACAAACCTCTGGGGATCGACATTCTCTCCTCTTCAGCCACGACAGCCGTGGGGTCAGTCTGCGATCGCACTTTCATTGCATCCATCTTCCGCGAAAACCCCATTAAGCATGTGCTTCATACGGCGACATTGCATAAGCCGCACATATGCAGCCATACCAAGGAGGAATTCATTTCAACCAACATTGCGGGCACTCTGATCCTTCTTGAAGAATCTTCCAAGTTCAAGGACAGAATTGAGAGTTTTGTTTTCTTCAGTACAACCAGCGCCTTTGGTACGGCTCTAAACCCGAAGCCCGGCTTCCCCGCCGCTTGGATCGATGAGTCTGTCGTACCCCAACCAAAGAATATCTATGGCGTAACAAAAGTCGCAGCCGAGGATATGTGCGCGCTGGTACAGAAGGAAAGCGGAATGCCCGTTCTAGTTCTGCGAACAAGTCGCTTTTTCCCAGAGGAAGACGATGATGAAGACCGTCGTACGGCCATGAGTGATGAGAACTTGAAAGTTCTGGAACTAGCCTACCGCAGATGCGATATTGAAGATATTGTCAGCGCGTCAATTTGCTCAATGCGAAAAGCCAAGGATATCCGGTGGGGGAAGTATATCATAAGCGCTCCGCCGCCTTTCAACAACGATGAAAGCACGCTCGACACTTTAAATCGAAATCCTGCTGAGGTGATTGCGCAAGCTTTCCCCGAAGTTGACGCTATTTTCAGGCAGAAAGGGTGGAAGCATCTTGCGAGGATCGATCGGGTCTATGATTCCAGCAAGGCTGTGAGAGAGCTAGGGTGGCATCCGAAATATACCTTTGGAAAAACCTTGGAGAGGTTAGCGCGTGGCGAGCAGTGGACGAGTGATCTGACTGCTAGGGTGGGCAAGAAAGGTTATCATGCTGTGAGCACTGGAGTGTATACCAAGAAATGAAGAGAGTCAGAATACAAGATTAATGCGGCAATTTTGCTAGTGGCTCGTGATTGATTAGAGCACGTAGACGGTATATGCAGTAAGACTGCCTGATTGAAAGTAGTAGTTCCCAAACAATGTCAGATAGACAGCGGGCCATCTTATTCAGTATATCTCATGGAGAAATAGCTGACCGGCTGAATCACTCTGGCCCTGTAGGATGTCCTTCTCAATGGTCAGCTCAAATCACCTCCAATACACATGGCATAAACAGGATACAGCGATATTAGTTGGGAAAGACGACAGATGCAGAGGCAGGTTTTCATGCTTATCAGCAAACAAGGCGGCAAAACGCCATGCGACGTCATCGTATGCAAAGATTTGACAGCAAGCGTGGATAGCCAAAATCAAACAGACAGGCAACTATAAAAAGCTTCATCAGTCACCGGCGAATTCGGCGAAGAGGAAACATAGCTGACATACTATTGGGCGAAAGGCTGATTATCGGATCACCCGGAATCCTTCGAAGGGGGCAGTGCGCAGACTGACAGAAGCAGGACAAAATTTATGTACATCTTGAATCTCAGAGATAGATACAAAGTAAGCTGATCATATGTAAGGCAGTTAGCGCTAAGCTACGATGAGCAATAAATTTCGCAGAAGTAAGCAGTGGCACCGAATGTGCTTATTTTAGGCGTTCCGCTTACCGAGACATTCTTCGTAAGCTCTTGATGAACAAACTTCGGACAAGCTTTCTAATGCTTCCATTGTGATTATTACTGGGATTGTCGAATAGTTTGAAATTGACTAATCGTGCTCAGATAGCGACATGGCTGACGCCCAAGTCACTCGTCGGGCTATATAAACCTGCTTGGGATAATGACAGTCTAACATAACGGAGCAGCATATTTCGCAAGTCCATTACATAGTATATACTTTTGCTAGAAATTAGTCCTAACTCAACTATATGACCTGTACTAATGAAGGCGTAAGAACATGTCTCATTCGTGTGGTCAAGTCCGTTTGCTGAACAGTGATCGTGCAGAATCAGATTCCGGACAGCAGCCCTAATACACCTACTCGGCAATGAGGCTGTGATAACATATCATCTTCTAAAATCCAACCTCGGGGCAGGAGTCCTTCTATACTTATCAGCCGCTTGCATTCGGCTACTACCGTCGCCAAATCTTTCAAGTTTCACTGTGTTCGCCAAGATCTTCTGTATCTCGGTGAGCCACCAATACTGCTGGGACATCGTTAACCAGCTTACCTCGGTTGATGAAGACCGAATCAACAAGCCTAAAAGGCCCATCCCAGCCGGCCGTCTCACTATAATAGGAGCCAAATGGAGATGGTTTATCAGCTGGACTATCTCTCCTGCTATCTGCTACACCCTTCTTGGCGGCGAAGCCTTAGTCATATTTCTCTTATCTGAAACCTTAATCCACATATGCTACGTATGGCCCAGACTTGATCACTGGGCATCCCGCAACACTTTCCCAGCCCTTTGGACATTCCTCTCATTCCGCCTTTTGAACAGTATCATCTGCGAAACATACCCACAACTGTCGGCACAGCCAAAGGTGGACGTGATTCTTTCACTATGGGTTCTTGGAACTATCCATATCCAGGAGTTTCATGATGTGGATGGCGATCGGAAAATCAAGCGCAAAACACTCCCTGTGCTTTGTTCAAGTGCTTCTTCTATGAAGATGCTGAGGGGCATCACGGCTGGCCTGATTGCTGCTAGCGGGTTTATTGTGGTCCTGTGGGGATGGTTACAGTGCCTTGGGCCTTTCGACTTGCATAGTGTTGGCCTGGTGCTTACAGGAATGTTCCATCTTCTTGGTGCGTTTGCTGTTGGTGTTCGTTGTGTTTTTGCGACGTCGGTGGGTATGGATGAGAGAACGTATAAAGTGTACTATATCCTGACAGCGTACTGGCTTGTGTACTTCTTATCGCTTGTCAATAAGTCAAACACCATGAATGGAGTGGCAGGAAACAAGTAACGGAAGAAGGAAAACAGCTGATATCGATAAAATATTTTGAGTGGTGTCCGGACTGATTTTATACTGTAATAAACGAGCATTTGCCCAATTTTTGATAATGATCTGAATGCTACTAGTTGCAAAATTCGGGCGATATGTGGGATGGGAGAATGAGAGGGTGGAAAGGTGGAAGGGTAAATGAAGGGCTATACTTTAGATGAAAATCTTACGCTAATTCAAGGCATTGACAGGGAGATGATTTTGACCATTCAAAGAGACGTTTCACCTCCCAGGTGAATAGAATGAGCAGTTAGTTCCGGGGGAGGCAAATCCTTCCAGCCAGTTTGAATGCACTATCAAGATTTGCAGAACATAACCTCCAAGTATCGAGTTAAGGCCAGGTACATACGCAGTTGGATGACGGCCAGCCCTGCCCTACCCAATCATGCTGTTAGTCGGGAGTGATAACGCGGGAAAACAAAAGCACTCCTTTATCTGAAAGTTTTCTACCTTCCTACATCCGCTTCTAATGAAATCCTTGGTCTGTTCTGACCCTCGTCAATTATCTCAAAAATCATCGAATACTGATGTTTAGGGTGGCTTCTCCTACCCCGCACTGTAGCTTTCTAGCGACGGGTAGAACAAACTGGCCTCTCTGGGAGAAACAGCAACTAGACTAGCGGGTTGACTGCCGGCCATGTAGCCGAGGATATAGAGTTGCGCTACTGCCCCCCGCATGCGGATCCCAACCTTTATCAGTGGCCACGACTCCCGAGTGCACTGATATCGTATCCATGCGCCATCCAATCGTCGGCCTTTTCCGCTTATCGAACCCCTCCCCGTCGGCTTTGCGCTGATAACTCCTTCGACGTACTCCTCTCCGTCGCTTCTGTTCTCTCCTCCAAGATGCTTCGGTATTATGGCTGCTCCTGGTCGCGTATGCGCTCGATGCGCTGTCATTGTAAGTCTTGACCCCTTCTTCGAATATTGATTACAAGGCTAACCTCTAATAGAAGCAACGCTGTGATGGCGCCTCGCCCTGCTCTCGTTGTGCACGTATGTTTTGCACTTCTAGTTCTCAAGTGCCAATATTTGCTGACCAACTAGGTCTGGGCCACATCTGTGAGCCTCAAAAGCCCGGAAGACCTGCCTCTGAAGTCCCGTCGCTAGCTTATCGCCGACCTAGGGCTTCCCGATCGCGCGGTGGATGTACCTCCTGCAAGGCGCGGTACGGACACCCATAAGATCCCCAAAACTACTACATTGCAACAGCTAAAAGCCAATAGCAAGAAGAAGTGTGATGAAAGCCGACCTCGATGTAGCGATTGTCGTCGTTTGAACTTACCATGCCACTGGAATAACCCAAGGGAGAAGTCTTCGTCACCAGCCCTCGCCTCTCCGCAGCCGTCGCCTACGTCTTCCTCTTCCGAATTTACTCACGAACCCATCCTATCTTCCGATTCGGATCCAGTCTCAGAGGTCGATCCGATCTCCCCTTCCGAGAACCTTTTATCGTCCGTTAGCGATGATCTGCTATCTCCATTCTCGCCCCTCTGGATCGATGTGGAGATGATCCTCGGACCCATTCAGTTTCCAGATGGCGCATTCAATCCCCATCTGCACAATGACGACGATCGTAGTCTATTCAACCACTATGTACATATCGTGTCACGAGCACTTTCACGTTCCACGACCACTGAATCCACGACGAACCCATTCCTAGCCACCCTGCTACCAATGGCCGCCGCATCGGAGACGCTAACTAGCGTCATACTAGGCCTTAGTGGCTGTCACTGGCGGCGCATCTATCCCCAAATCTGGGACCGTGCCCTAGCGCGTCAAGGAAAAGGTACATACTGATCAAAACCCTATAACACCATCAAGAACCACTAACCATAACAGCCCTAGCACAAGTGAGCAACCTACTCCGTCGACCGAACCAAAACAGCCAATCATTCCTCGAGGCCTGCGCCACCATTCTCCTGCTCTGCCTCACAGAGCTATTCGAAGGCACCTCTCGCGTCTGGAAATGGCATCTCAAAGCGGCAGGAAACCTCCTCAGTACTGCAGCAGCTGCCACCGATCTGCATCGCCTGGCATCAACCCCAGAAGGAACCTTCTGCCTCCAACTCTTCCACTACCTCGACGCCATGTCCACCATATCCAGATGCAAACCCCCATTATTACGTGCAGGCGAGCGACTCACTGACCTTACCTCATCAACTTCCTCCTCTTCCCTCCCAGTACCCCTCGGAGACAACTCCATCTCCGGCATCCCACCACCCCTACTAGAATACCTAGGCCGGGTCAACCTCCTCGCCGCCCACCGCAGCCGACGCGTCGACGACCTCTCCGAGATCGGATTCCGAGCAGCCGCTGCGCACGTGCGCGCCCAGCTCGATACCTGGCGAGTGGAACACGATGCGACCAGCACTGTTCTGACAAACAGCGACGCAGACAGAGCAACAACAGCCTTTGAATGGGCGATCCGGTTACGACTACATCAGATCGTGGACGGCTATGATCCACACCATGCAGACGTGGAGAATGCTCTCTCTCACATCCTGACAGCCGCGCTGGCGATTCCTTATGGTAGTCCCGTGGAGGGTAGTCTGCTGTTTCCGTTGGTGATTGCTGGCGCTAGTTGTAGGGATAGCATGGAGCGGAGGATGGTTGTTAAGGAGCGGTTGATAGTGATGGAGAACACGTTGGGGTTTGGACATATCTCGCATGCGAGACGGTTACTGGAGACGGTGTGGGCTGATGAGGGCGGGGATGGGAATTGGGCGAGAATAAGGTATAGTTCGTTTCCTGGGGTGGTGTTTGTTTAGTAGTCGGTTAGTGTGTAGTATTTCTGTGGCGTAGCGTTGCGTGTACATAGTCGCTGAAGTTTGCATTACTGAATAGTTATGTAAGTCCACTGTTGTTGATTGGTTCTTGTTGTTTTGGTGGTAGCTCTAGGATTCACCAGTGTTGCCTATCATGCAGTTCTTCTTGGCAGAAAGTAGTCGTGAAAAAAATGGCAAAGGTCCATTCTCTGCCGTAGTATTCAATGATAAACAAGAAAGTAACGATTCATCATCAGCTTGCACATTAAGCATCAAACCCTTCGGCCCAAATTCTTGATATCAAGTCAATCATAACATTTTTCACTCCAACGGAAGCTACCCCCGTTAATGAACCAACCTAATACAAAGGCGGCATATCATTCCACTCCCTGCGTCCATTCATCGACTCCTGCCGCTTGTAACTCGCAAACCACTTTTCAAATGCCTGTCGGTTATACAACCTCGTCGGAGCCTTCCCCTCACCAAAGTAATTCAGGATCATATCACAATACATCCAAATAGCTTTGTAATGCTCCCGGTGAGATCTTTCTTATCCTTACGCGCCACAATCACAGTTCCGCCCAAAAAATTTGCTTAACACCCTTTCCACAACGTACCATAAATATCACATTCAATAAATCTGTTGCTTTGGTGGTCGAGAGGCATAGATTTGTCGTATAGATTTGCGAATTCCTGCTCCGCGCTCGACTGAGCATTCGTCTGACCAGATAATTCGTAGAAAGTCTTCAGCAGCGTATTCGGCATATTTTTGAGCCCATCTCAATCTCTTTTCTGCGTGTTGAGAAGTGATTTCTGGCCGCTCACATTATTTCCCTGCATGTGTAGAGGTATGTAATAGACGTTGAACTGTTCTGATTGAAGGACTGCTCTGTACAGCAGTAGAGAGTTCACGCAGTTTTATATGCTGATCTTGCTTAACCAAGTCCAATAACTGCTGCTGTTCCTCAGGAGTAATCTTTTTGGGTCGTCCGGAGCGAGGTGCAGAGTGTTGCTGTTCTCGAGTACTCTCGCGCTTGATTGTAGTCTGTATAGTTGAATAAGGGATATGAGGATAGCGTTTATGAATCATAGTAAAGCTCCATCCAATTGCTTTTAGCTCACAGAGTCTAGCACGGATCTCTGGGGTCAGTTCTTTGCGTGGTGGCATCTTTGTATGGCTTGCTTGCTTCAAGATTCAGGGCTCTGGACGTGTTGTTTTGGTAGGCAGAATAGCTAACCTAGTTAAGAAGGCGGAAGTGAAAGCAGTTAGCGTAGAATGTGGAGCAACGCAAACTTCTGACATCCCACTGTGGGCCTCCACAGGTACCTGCGTGGATTGATGGTCATTTATGTTTGTTGGTAATTGCTCCCAATAGATAAATTCAGTGGAACTCTGGCCTCGTAACACAATATAGATATCGCCTAGGAGCTTTAATGACACTACGCCCCGCGCTAGATCTATGATCGAGATACGTGATTCCGCGTCAGTATACTTCCACGAAAACCTTCTGCAAGAATTTCAATACTTCGTAAAGCAGCATAAACAGCATCATGTTGCGGGTCAACTCCTCATAAGAAACTACTTATATACACACAGCCACCTAAACACCAGATCTACTATCTATTGGGTCTTCAGCTCTTCCAAATGCGTTCGCATATTATATCCACACACCTCCTCAATAGTCAACTTCCCCGGTCGATCTGTCGACGAGCTCCATCCAATGCGCTCGCTCAGGTCCTCGCGTGCGCGAAAACTCGCCTCTTGGACTTTCGTGGCTCGTGGTTTCCGCAGCCGCTCGTACAGCTGTAGACCCTCTGCGACACTATATTCTTCCCGGAACGTGCGGTGGAAAATTAATCCCAACGCGCCGGCGTCCTCAAAGGCCATACACGAACCCTGCGACTGATCGGGCATCATGGGATGGGCGGCATCACCAAGTAGGCATACTTTGCCTTTGGCCCAGTAGGGGTATGGTTGGTGACGGTACACTATCGATCATCAGCAGAGTGAAATCAAACACAGGGGGTGGGGATCCTACAGCGCCACATCTTAATATCCTCCGCATTCATCATCAACAGCTTCATGCGTTCATCCAGTCCCGGGAAAGTATCGACCAGCTGCTCCGGAGTAGCCGCGATATTCCAGCCATCGCCACGCAAGTTGTTGTACTCTGCCGGATAGAAACAATAGCAGCTCACGACTTCGCCGTTACTGCAAGGTGACATGACGATTTTGTTAATTCCAAATCCACCCCAGTATTCGATCGCCTCATTGTCGATGTAGTCGTCTAGCCCGAGGCTGCGGAGTTTGTCGGCGCTGATAATGCAGCGATAGCAGCATGAGGTCGACATCGTAAATTCCGGGGTGATCCCCATTTCAAGTCGGCTTTGGGACTGTATTATGTTTATGTTAATATGAAATAAGGCTTATTCAATAACTAGGAAATGGGGTAGGAATAGTTACGCGAATACCATCCGCGGCGACGATAAGGTCTGCCGACGCCGTCTCGCCATTATCGAACACAATGCGCCCGGCCTCTGCGTCTAGCGATACGGCCTTGTGATTGACCTTCAGTGTGCAAGGGGTGCCTTCGCCTGGCTCGTCAAAAGCAGACTTGAGTAGTTGTTGGTGGATGTCAATGCGGTGGAAGTTGTTGTATTCCTGAGAACCACGTCAATGACAGGTCGGAGAGTGAAGAATGAATCCCAGACTGACCGTTCCAAACTTGGCTTTGTAGTCCCCCAAACCATATTCATTCTGTATTGTCCCAGTCTCCCAGTCATGCATAATAAGTTTCTTCAAGACCACCGGTTTCGCAGCCTTGACATCGACACCCCATTGCTCGAGGAATCGGGATCCATTGGAAGCTGCGCTCAAGGAAGCGCCCACTTCGCCAGCAAAATCGTATCTCTCGTAGACGGTGATTCGATGGCCTTGGCGACGTAAAGCCACGGCTGCGCTCAGGCCGCCTAGACCGGCGCCGATGATGGCAATGTCGAGGGGAGAGTCGGTGCGCGAGGGCATTCTGTACGGTTTGACGAATCGACAATTAATATGATTTTGGCTTTCTCTGCATTCCAGCTTCAGGTTCGAATATTTGTTTATATACCTATCCGGCGCCTTCCTATGGTCTATGTTGTTCGGACACACATCCGATCCACTTATCGTGCATCCGACGGGGCTCGTATCTATGCGACGGGTGCAGCAGTAGTGCAGCTTATCGCACCAGTCGCCCCAGCCAGTGACAGGGGACATTGTAGCCCTCACTGTGTACAGGAACAACCTCTTTAAGACAGCCCATCATGCCATTCTGCCGCTTCTCGACGGCCTTCTGATGGAACATGCCATCCCTGCTGCACAAGCACTATGTCTGATACCAAAGAGGAAAAGCTGGCCACTATCGACTATGGCCTTGGCGATCTGCACGATGATTCGGCACTGTTGGGTCGGATCGATTGGCGAATACTGCCGATTATGTTCTTGACGTACTTTTTGCAGTTTCTGGATAAGGTGGCCTTGAATGTATGTCCCGATCTTCATCTAATGACTTGTACGGATGCCGATGCTAATGGTGGCAGTACGCTAATGTCATGGGCATGCAAGATGATCTTGGGATGAAGGGCAATGACTTCTCCTGGTTGGCTACAGGATTCTTCATTGCTTATGCCGTGGCCGAAATCCCTCAGGGTACGTTCCATTTATTCAACTGCCATGTTCATGTCACTGATTGTAGATAGGGTTCTTACTCCAACGATACCCCATCACCAAAGTCCTCGGATTCAACATCCTCTGCTGGGGAGTGCTCCTCTGCTGCTCTGCCGCAGCCCAGAATTTTGCAGGCATGATGTCTCTGCGAGTGCTTCTTGGCACACTAGAAGCTGTGATCGGTGCGATTTATACTATCTATCTTCTATACCCATTGCTAATACTCCACATACAGCCCCCGCCCTAACCATGTACACAAGCATGTGGTACACCCGGGCCGAATCCACCCCTCGCTATGGCCTCTGGTACTGCGGACTCGGCACCGGGCAGATCATCGGCGGATTAATATCCTTCGCGGCGCAGCATGCACCGGCGTCGATGTCATTCCACGGCTGGCGGATAATGTTTGTAGTGATTGGAGCAGTAAACGTCCTCGTAGCGCTTCTCGTCCTGTTCGTTCTACCCGACACACTATCTGAAGCGCGCTTCCTGAGCACATCCGAGAAGGTTCGCGTGGAGGAGCGCCTCCGACAAGACCAGGCTGGTGTGGGCGAGAAGATCTTTCGCGCGATCTCGCTGCTCGAGGCATTTGCGGATCTCCAGACTGTGCTCTTGGTGCTTTTGACTATTCTCATCACTATACCCAGTGGAGTCATCACGACGTTCTCATCCATTTTGATTAAGGACTTTGGATATGACTCGAAGGAGAGTGCGCTGCTTAATATGCCTTCTGGGGTGGTTAGCATCGTTGCTACTATGGCGTCTACGATGGCCATTGCGCGGGGATATTCGCGCTGGCTGGCGATTAATGTTCTCCTGATCCCTACTTTGCTTGGGGCGTGTCTGATGTCTTTTCTGCCGTCGTCGAATCAGGGGGGTTGTTTGGCGGGAATATACCTTGTGAACACGGTAGGTTGCTCCAGACGTGAAAAGAAGGTTATACACTGACTGTAATAGACTGTCGCACCGCTAGCATTGATTTTCGCGTGGACTGGTGCGAACTACAAGGGGTATACCATGAAGGTAAAAGGACCATACGAGTTTCGAATTAATGCAAGCAGCAGCTAACATGAACTGCCGCATAGGTAGCAGGAAGTACGCTCGTCTCGGCCGGGTTCAGCATCGCCAACATTATAGGGCCGCAGACGTTTCAATCCCGCGACGCTCCAGGGTATGCATATCCCTGAACTGTCACATTCATTCAATATTCTTACTTATCTGAACAGGTACATCCCCGCCAAGATCACGATCGTCGCCGTCAACGCTGGCGCAATCATCATTTCCACCATGCTGCGGGTGGTCTACGGCCGTCGGAACGCGCGGGCTAACCGCTTAGGCCGGGCAGCGGAGAGTCGCATGGAAGAACGGCTGCGGAGCGAGGGCGATGATGAGGGGGTAGTCGATTTTCGATATGTGTACTAGGTAGTAGTTTAGAACCGCTGAGTCTAATCTATGCGACGGCTCCACTCGAGTAGAAATCTCAATTTACTAAACAATGTATATAAACCACCGTATCCATATCTACTACACTCAACCCTACCCATATCCTCTACAGCTATTCACACTAATACTACCATCACCAAAATGCTAACTCTCATAACCGGCGCCAACGGCTTCATAGCAACCCATTGCATCGTCACACTCCTCCGCGCAGGCCACTCCATCCGAGGCACCGTGCGCAGCGCGGAAAAAGCCACAGCGACGCTTTCCGCCCTCCACGCCGCAGGAATCCCCCACCTTGAGACATCCCTGGACCTCGTGGTCGTTCCCGACCCCACAGACCTAGCGCAGTTTCTCCCCGCAGCGGCAGACTGCGACGCTATCTTGCACCTTGCGTCGGCATTCACCTATGATGCGGAGCCGGGGCAGTTTGAGGAGCGGTTGCTTCGTCCGGCAATACAGGGGACGAGTGTTGCATGTGAGGCTGCGCATCAGTGTGAGAGTGTGAAGAAGTTGGTGATAATGTCGTCGTTTGCGGCGGTTTATGATGCGGCGTTGGGATTGCAGCCTGGGAAGGTTTATACGGAGGAGGATTGGAGTCCGCTGGGGTTTGAGGAGGGGAGAGATACTGAAAATGTGGTGAGTTTGTGTTTTTATGTGTTCGTGATGATCGTTGGTTGCTGACACGGGGGTGAATGTAGGCTGTGGCGTACCGCGCGTCCAAGGTCCTAGCGGAGCGCACTGCGTGGACATACATCAAGGAGAATGAGGTGGACTTTCAGCTTGTCACACTTTGTCCTGGGATGGTGTTCGGGAAGATGATACATCCGATTCCGTCGCTGGAGTATCTGAACGCCAGTAATAGGATTGTGTGGGACGTAGCGAAGGGCGGGAGTGAAATTCCGCCGACAAAGGCACCCGGTAAGTGAATACTCTGTAAAAGCAACGTAGTAGGTCAAGTAACTAACGAATTACTAGTCTGGGTAGATGTGCAGGATCTAGCAGAGACATGCCTGCGCGCGTTGACGGTCGATCTACCCTCCCATCAGCGGTTTCTGGTCACGGAGGGCCCGTACGATACGCAGGAGATTGTGGATGTGGTGAGAGAGAATATTCCTGCTGCTTCGAGACGGGTTGCAGTTGGAAGTCCGGGAACGAGAATTAGAGATACGCATTACTCGTGCGATTCAGGAAAGGTGAAGAGGGTGTTGGGAGTGCGATTTCGAGGGTTGAAGGAGTCGATTGTTCCTTTGGTGGAGCAGTTGTATACTATGGAGGAGGGGGAGAGGAAAGATGGTCTGTCTGCTGCGGTACTCTAGTAGTACTATCCTTCCATATATATATATTCATCTTCAACGTGATAGACTTATATGAGGAAATACGGTTATGCTTTACCTCCATAAGACTTAAACGAGCAAAGGTCCCTCATCCTCGCGCGAGAAATACTACTACTATGCATAGAGTTGGTTGACTTTGCCACACCTACGAGCAATATGTTTGAGCCTTCTATATGCTACGATCAGAGTTCATATGTACTTGATTGGGCTTCACTAGTCACGGTTAAATGATTATGGTTGAATTCGTAACTTCTAGAAGATATGATTAGGCTTGAGTCGTAGGACATAGCACAAAGTAATAGTATCCTCTAAGATCTACTGTAGTGATTGAATATAGAACCATCGTGTAACAATTGGACTTGGGTATTGATAATACATCAACTTCGCTTTCCTAAATCATTTTCTAGTGCGCGTTGCCGAGACAGGCAGTTACGGTGCTCCGCTGTCCGCTTTCATCGGCGCAAAACAGCCATTTGCTAAGTCTCCTTAGGAATCGGTATTAGATTGTGCTGCGATATTAGTTGGTTTGTTCCTGTTGTCGTGGAGTGCGAGGTGAAGGCTCAGCGGCTGGCTCGGCATCAGACGCAGATGACTGCTGCGCAGGATCCCAGTTGTAGATACACGGCTCCGATTCAGTTTCTGAATGTTCTGGTTCTGATGGATAGTCGTCCTCAAAGGGATACTCTGACCCTGGAGGGTATTTGGTAGGGTCTAAGGCTTGGGGTTTGTTCATCGTCTGCTGATTCAACGTGCCCAGTGGGCTTCTGAGGGTGGCCTGTATGCCCGCGGTTTGCTGTGGAGGGGTAACAGGGGGTTTCTTAGAATCGACAGGCAAGGACGTGCTGACAGGTAGGTCGGCATTAGCAGCCTTGCCGCAGTTGCACTTCTTTCGTTTTCTGGGTCTTTCTGTGCTAATGTTGCAATTTGCGTTAATAGGCACGTTTGAGTCAGGCGGCAGAATTCGCTCATTGGGTTTCGGCGTAGCCTGCTCTCCGGCTGAGGGCACTGTAGCTGGTTTTACGGCCGGCTTTGGATAAGGGCTGGCCATGTGCTTCTGTAAGAACTTGATCCTATCGTGGGCAAGCCTCAGCGCTCTGCAGGACGTATCTTGGGAGGCGTGTGGACCTTGACAATTGGCGCAAAAGAGGTTGGCTGTGTTCCGACACTTTACCGGTTTGTGACTGTCCCCACAATAAGGACAACGTCTGGAAGAGTTGCAGTTGCGCCGGGAGTGCCCGAACATCTGACAATTGGGGCACTGAAAAAGACGGTAATGCTCGTCAAACTTTTGCGTTCTCAATGGAATACAATTCAGATATAGGGTGCCTTCCTGTAAGAAGGCACTTGCATGTTCCGGTCGGTCAAAACTGACGATCAGCGAACTTTTGAGAGGCAGTGGCAGAGTATTGCCGGTCAACCAATCCACGTAGGATACGTAAGCATTCGGCACTTGTGGATTCTGAAGCATAATCTGTCGAGCAGCCATTCCACTGCTCAGGGCCTGGCTGGTGAACCAATCTGCCGGGACGTCGTGGACCAAAATGGACCAGGATTTCCTGAGAATTCGGGCGTATCGCCCCAGTCTGAGGTGAGATATCCACTCGTTGCTGTACGCTACCAGGGCATCAGTATCCTTGCGGCTTGACGTATGTATTTCAAGGTCGCCTGATGGAAGTACTTGGGCTGAGCAGATCCGCACATATCGCTGCGCTTGCAGGACCGCATGTTGCACTTCGTGTATGATGGACGCATCCTGTATACCCCGATATGGGGGCGCGACTTTGTCTTTCTCCCAGTGAATGCGAATCTGGTTCTCATTGTTGGGGTGATTCAGAGGGTCTCTATCCGGAGTGCTGGTGGCGGTTGCCGGGACTTTATTCGAGCCTGTATCATTCTGAGGCGGCCAATCCAAATTCAAATAGTTTGTAATGTATTTCCCCATTTCGTCACACGCGCCGAAAGCTTCAAGGCCTGATTCCCAGCCGGTATAGCAAGCTTCTAGCAGCTCAGTCATTGTTTTTTCCACTTTCTCGGCAAAAGCTCCAACCTCTGATGCTTGCAAAACCAACCTAGGGTGGTCTCTGGCGTGCGATGCCATGGCCTTGCAGTGCCCGCGATGGAGGTTCACTACGTCGACAAGTTTATAGTTGGATGTATCCGGAAGTGGCGGCCATTTTAGTCGAGGCATTTCAGTTCACTGGACTTCAAGATGGTGACAGTTTTGTGGTTTGCGCTGAACTATAGAGACAGGCGTGGAGTACGGAGAGAGCAACGAGATAATAAAGGGCAAAAAGTTGAGCCTCAGACACGTCGGGTGGAGTTCAGGTGACGCGACTGGAAATTAAGAAAGGGATCTGCGTAGTCCCCTACTCTCATACTATCTAGTACGTACTGTGTACACCCCAGTCAGGGGCGCAGAGACCATGATTAGTGAGTCTCGTGCTGAGGGTTTAGTGTGTTTGATGAAAGACACATCAGATAGATCCAGATGTGATACATCCTGTCACAAGCTGGCGGTCGGCACTGTGAATTTCGGATGTTGGAGCGGTTTCTAATTACTGGAGATGAAAGCCACCATCTTAACTCCGTACTATTTACTCGTAATGCTGTAGACTGGACAAGAACGCAAGGAAGTGACATTTGCGGCCGCGTTGCTATTTTTGATCCTGGTTCAAGGGATGCGTCGAGACAAACTGATACCGGTCGCTTCTCGGTGTCAAAGGGTATTCTTGGAATGTGAGGACGGCGCCAAATGGTGATGACCCGGCGCTAGTACTTCCCTAAGTGACGTGTCATTTAGCAGCTGAAGTCTTTTGGTTGGAAGAGACATTTATTGTTGTTCAACCTCCTACTATCTCTAGCCTGCCCAGGACTGCGAGCGAAACTTCTACTGAACTTTCTCCGCCTACCAAAGCATCTCCACCCTATATCTCTACCTTGGCATTCCTACCAGTAAACCTCTTTCATCATGCCTGCCACCGGCTACCAGGGTTACAAAGTACGGGCCCTATCTTGACCCTTCGGGCATATGGCATCCCTACTCAGGAGATCTCTACCAATACGTTTGTCCCTCTGCGTATTATCCACAGGAATTTGTCAAGCGAGCGAAAGAGTGGGAATATTATCCGCAGGAAGATTTTCGCATTTAAAGGGAATATGTAGACGATGGCAAACGGTCCGGTCGTTCCAAGGGGAGTCCTAATGTCTCGGGCACGTTGATTGTCCTGCCCAGCTCTCTCGGGAAACAACCTCGTCTTATCATCAAGACCAATAGATATTCTCCGTTTGTGCTCCTCCTTCTGGGCCCCTCCATCTCGTAACAGGGACTGACACTCCACGGTTGTCCAGGTAATCCGCCACCTGAAGGCTATCATGATCTTGTTCCTGCTACTGTGAGCCCGTCCATCAGCTTTGTCGGCTAGGTTCGTCGTGATATTGAAAGGCATGGAAGCGACGGCAAGCATGTAATGTTCTTCGTTGACCTGAACGTGTATTCGGGGAACTTTCATGATTGTCCTGCAGAGTACACCCACTTTACCATCGCGGTTGACATGCCACCTGGTCCTCGCTGGCAGAACTTCAGGATCGCACGACTCACCGGTACGGTGTTTGTATCCGGGGAGATGGTCGGTTACTACAAGTATTATGGAAGATTCATTCCGTGTGTGATGCTCCAGAATATATCTCTCATAACTCCTTCGATTCGCGAGGATACGCGGCTTTTACCTAGAAAGAGACGTGCTCTCGGTGAGCCGTACATGATGCATTACAGCATTCCTACCTCTACCGCCGACGACACTGCCTTCCCAGAGGTATGGCCATCAAAGCCGAAAACACCTTTCATTGCCACGGATACTAACTGCAAAATGCAGCCACCCTCCCAGTCCGTCTCTACACTCGTTCCTCAGTCACCCTCACCTGGGCCGCCTGATTTACCGGGTTCGCCCTCAACGATTGAAGAGAGCGACGAAGGGGACGAAGGTGGAGATAGCGAAGACGGTGAAGGTGGAGAGGATGGCGAAGATAGCGAAGATAGCAAAGATAGCGAAGATGACGAAGATGAAGAGAAAGAGTAAAAGGTTAAGAGAGCAGCAGGAGGAGAATGAAGAGAAGTTGAAGAATGAAAAGAGGAAGAGAGAGAATGAGAATGAGAACATGGAATACATGGAGAACACAGAAGATTAACTGAAACAACAAGTGACTAAGTGCATTTTGTCACAGCGACTAGCCTGAGCCGAGCGCAATGAGGAGAGGAACCAGTTGAAGCGCAGGGCATCCTCCAGTTAACTATAATGGGGCCAATATGTTGTAGATTCTGTTTTTGATACCTTTTGGCGTTGCCATACTCTTTTGCGATATTTTTAGTGCAAGCACATTATCGCGTAGTGATTCTACACTTGCGGTGTGGTATACGAGGATCTTTAAGGACGTGCCATACGTCCTGCCAGAGTTATGGCGCTTATAGCGTTTCCCTTTCAACCCTTGTGGCACGCACCTATCGTTTACGACTGAAGGATTCAAACGATTTCCATCTCCGGTTTCATAGGAGACGTCAAGCAGATTGCTCTCTTGACTGATTTTTTCTTCTTCTTCTTGTTCTTCTTCTTCTTCTTCTTCTTCTTCCCTTCGTGACGGGGTATGAATCGCTAGCCCGATCTCCGTTTCTGAGTATTGAGATGATTCTATTCCACAGCCCTGGGGAGCGTGACCCTTCCAGAGACTTGTTTCAGGGTCCTTTAAGCTGTATTGATGCGCTACATGGAAACGGAGTGTTCGGTTTCGTCCGGGTTGATTATATATAAAGTACTACTGGTCAGAGCAGATTGAAGCTACAGTTCGAAGACCTGCAGCGAGGGTTCAGCATGGGTTTCAGGCACACAACACTGTACCTTAAGTGTGGTGCAGAATCTGACACTTCTGACCTCTCGTCATGCGAAATCGGAGTTAGGACATCTTTTCAAGGGTGTGAGTCCGAGAGTAAAAAGATACAATGCTTTGTGCAGGTCAGGACTGCGATGCCATATATGTATTAAACTGTCAGCCGGCTTTTCAACGAGTAGTCTCGGTGGCGCAATTGGTAAGCTTGCCCTTCATCAAATTCATCCAATCAATCAGTTACTAATTCATCAATAAAGGTTAGCGCGTACGACTGTTAATCGTGAGGTTGAGAGTTCGATCCTCTCCCGGGACGTATCTTTTTTGCTTTTTTCTTCTTGGTTCCCGCTTCTTCTTCACCGCACCACACGTTCGGGGTTATTCCGTCATATTATGCTTTTAGGTTGCTAATCTTGGAGCCGTGGCGTGCAATGGCTTGTCAGAGCCGTTATTGGTGGGCTAGGTGAAACCTTTTTGCCTACAAAGGTCCGAATTTCACCATCCCAACTGTTGTTTGTTGGGTTGGGCAATCCCGAGTCAGCCACAACCGCCCTAGTCCAATCGCTTTATTGTCCGTCAAGGTTGGCAGTCCGTGTTGAAGTGGATGAAACAACCTGATGAGCCTAATTTATGGTGGAAGGTCAGATTCGAAGGAGGATCACTCCTGGTCCCATTCCGTGAGAATAAAACACCCTTGATCGTTAGTGCTCAGTGGCCCACAATAGATACTTCGGATCCTCATCCAACGCATGGGGAAATTGCAGGAGCCATCCATATCCATTCTGAACCGAACAAACAATCCTGCTCATGACCGAGCCACTATTCTGTAGCCGTCCTAGTAATTAACGTCTCGGTCATGAACCACCTGCCTTGAGTCTTTCTGGAATTCCGGAGTAGAGTATGTTCCTGACCTGAGCAGACCACGTGTCCAGAACACCAGCCCTTGCGAAGTCTCATCTCAAGATGACTTTTCCTGAGCTCAATGGCCCCCACTGTTTGCTTATCACAGCACACAGGGCTGGTGCAGGGGTCAAGAGATCCTCGACATCCTTTGAACAGATGGTCCGGTGAAATTGGGAAAGCCTTAGGCCCCGACGGTCAAGCGCGTAAATCCGGGCGTTTATTGTTGACGGCAAGGGGTCAGTCATTCAGCAGCCGAACTCTATCTCCATCACCACCGCTGCAACTCTCACCTCATCCCTTCGCTGTCTTCACATGTCAGTCCGTCTGTCAAGGAAGCTCATCGGAGACCGTCGTCCATCCGACCAGCCGATAAGGCTGCAGTTCTATGCTAGATAACATGCAACAACGCAGTCGCTGTCCTCATGCTATCTAGTTCTTGCAGTCGCAGGATTCACGCCCCTGTACGATTATGCATCAAACTAACCCTGTCACCTGTCTGACTACCGAGCTCCTGCAGGCACGCTAGCCTGGTCATCCGAAATCACACCCACTTCTTCACCCGAACTAAGCTTTTAACCTCCTATTTACGGCCCCTTCTCTGGTTAAACCTAGTTTCATTTGTACCCCTATTGTGATTGGCGGAAGCAGACGGATCAATATATGGCCCCCGCTTGTTAAGCCCAACTCAGCCAGGCGCAGGTGGGGTTGAATACAGAGTAGCGGTAGGGGCTTTCTAGAAACATTGCGGGTCGTGGACTTTTTACGTCCAGTTTTGTCCGGCACACGCGGCCGAGCGCATGGCGGCACTCTGCAAATGTCTGTTCTCTCCCTGCGTGACTGAGAGCCAGAGGGTCATTGGTTCCTTAGCCCCTTGCAGCCTGACATGCCAGCACGGATTCCTCACGACCATGGCACGCCCCGGCCCAGACATGCCTGTTGATTGGCTGTTTATAGAGCACATGGGGGCTAAATCCTGGCTTTTCCTTTCGCAGCGCCAGGAGCGTTAGTCACAATTGCTTTTGCTTGCGACTCTCCTATTACCAGTCGGTGTACCGAGTCTAATTCATTTCGAATACCCTCTCGGAGACGTTGGTGACAACGATGGGCCGTTGGCAGCCGTCGGATCCCCAGTTCATTTGATCTATAAAGGGGGCCACGCCACCATAGGTAAATCTTTAGAAAGTCGCAGATCTTTCCCAAGAGTATCAAGCGCTGTACTACCTGGCTCTCAAGATGTTCTTCCGCAGGGAATTCGGGGCTGTCGCAGCCCTATCTGTTCTGGCCTATGCTGCTCCCGCACCTGCTCCGATGCAGCGTAGAGGTAACACTCTCCAATACATCTTGTGGACCGTGAACCCACTAACCTTGCTCAGACATCTCATCTACCGTCTTGGACAACATCGACCTCTTCGCCCAATACAGTGCAGCAGCTTACTGCTCCTCAAACATCGAGTCCACCGGCACGACTCTGACCTGCGATGTAGGCAACTGCCCTCTCGTCGAGGCAGCCGGTGCCACGACTATTGATGAGTTTGACGAGTAAGCCAAGCCATCTCAACGTCTTCTCCTACTTGTCAGCAGCTCACACTCCCCTAGCAGCAGCAGCTACGGCGACCCGACTGGGTTCATCGCCGTTGACCCGACAAACGAGTTAATCGTTCTGGCTCTCCGGGGTAGTTCCGACATCTCCAACTGGATTGCCGACTTGGACTTCGGCCTCACCTCTGTAAGTAGCATCTGTGACGGCTGCGAGATGCACAAGGGCTTCTACGAGGCCTGGGAAGTCATCGCCGACACCATCACATCCAAGGTGGAGGCTGCTGTCTCCAGCTATCCGGACTACTCCATCGTGTTCACCGGACACAGCTACGGCGCTGCATTGGCGGCCATTGCGGCCACTGTGCTCCGCAACGCCGGATACACTCTTGACCTGGTAGCCTACCCCCACAACACTCTATCCATCTTCCGTGCCGTTATCCTTCAGAATAATCAACTAACACGATGGACAGTACAACTTCGGCCAACCCCGCATCGGCAACCTCGCCTTAGCCGACTACATCACCGATCAAAACATGGGCAGCAACTACCGCGTCACGCACACCGACGACATCGTGCCCAAGCTTCCTCCCAAGCTGCTGGGCTACCACCACTTCAGCCCGGAGTACTGGATCACCAGCGGCAACGATGTGACGGTGACTACGTCGGACGTGACTGAAGTTGTGGGGGTGGATTCGACGGACGGGAATGACGGCACCCTGCTTGACAGTACGACTGCTCATAGATGGTATACAATTTACATTAGTGAGTGCTCGTAGAGCATTGCTGGAGCAGTGCCGCGGTCATGTGGACTGGATATAGTTAAGACGGAATGAATTTGTACATAGTTTTTATTTAGTAACCGGCGAAGTACATATGCTAGCCTGATCATGAAACTGATCGTGAGGCATTTTTTGACGTGTGTGAGTCTTAAGAATGTAGACTAATGATGGTGAGAGCAGCAGTAGCACCGAAGAATCCCCGACCCGTCCGTTCATCCCACTCCAACTTCAAGTTCAGTTTGAACTGATTAGATTAACTTTCCTTCTCCCCCACTGATAATCCCAAGAACGTTTTCTACTGACCGGGACAGTCTCTGCACGGCTCGTTCCACCATCCTGTGGCGTAATAGAATTACATAAAACTCACCACCACGGGAAAAGCGCGTCCATGTCAACCACGAATCAACTCATCTACTTGAATCACGCGGGATATATAGATAACTCTTTACGGTAGTATTTTGAGCAATCTATTTTACTACCAGGAGCTTGGCCAACCTTAGCCCGATTAGAAGCGGAGTAGTTAGTTACTTATCAAGTTGATTAGATTATTAGCGTAACGGTTGCCAAGATCGTAAAAAACATAGGGTAGTCTACCACCACCCCAAGGAAAATAGTTTCCCCACCACCAGCACCTTTTCTGACGTGATTGTACTATACTATAATATGTATCACTACTCACTAATTATCGGGCATACTATCTCCGCTTACTGTACTTCACATGTGAAAGAGGGGTGTTTGCGACCGGGGAAACTAATTGGGGAATCAATGTCCGGGATATCCGACGGGGATCTGCGCTCTGCTTGCTCTGTTTTGAGTTGGGGCAGGGAGATATGAGAGGGTGGAGATGAGGTCATTCATGGCTTCACATGTTTCTGACATTATCTCGGGTTGCTCGTTGATAAGGCAATATGCAGGAGGCTACTCAGTATGGGTATCACGCTATGAAGGTATGCGTGATGGGATAGTAATTAATCCTGCCCTAACTGAAAGAGCAGCTGCTCCGAGCTTTGCTCGCTCCACCGAAAGCTACTATTGCTTAGTTGGTTAGTGAGTGGATTTCCTGATAAGGTAGAGAAGTACTAGTAGATTACTTAGTGCTACTATTCTCGATGAACAGATTGTGTTGTCTCATTTCGATGTTATTTAGTATTTATCAGGAAACATTTTTCTGACTTGCAATGGGGACGGACACCTTTTATATAGCACAGTGCTAGGTCCAAATGGCCTTTGTCATGTGGTGGTGCACATGAGATTATAATGGCTTCATCTCTTCTTTTCTCTCACTACGGTGTACTAAAGTAGGCCCCCGGTTAAGGAAGGTGCGGAAAGGTGAAGGATACCATTCAATGCAAATTTGGTCAATGGGTAGTATTGGGTATCTATTTGTGATTTTTCCCTTCACCTAGGTAGGATAGCTTCTGAGACATATATCATTGTGTTGTAGTAGTGCTAATGTCAGAACTCAGCATGAACAGTTCACTACCATGTCCAGCCATGATTCCACAAGGGGAGTTACAATGTGATCCCTAACTCTTGACTCAATCGCCAATACTTTGCCCTAGTAGCTATCCTCGACACATGTCGTAGCACCACATCTACTCATCCAAACACTCATACTCATCCAACTCCAAATCATCCGTCACCAACTCATCCGCCAGACTCAACTTCCCACAAACAACCCCCCTCAAGAACGCCTTAGCAACGACATTCGCCCCGGACGCACTGGTATGCGTATGATCGATTGGAAAATACGCATCCACGGTATCCGCCCCCAACGCCTCATATACCTGATCCGTGTAATCAAAATGATTCACGTACGACGTGTCCGCCGTATCTGCGGCGATCTCCGCGTACCCGACGAACCGTGGCGGGTCATTCACGAAAGTGCCCGTCTCCCAAGGGTTATTGGGCGTCTGTGAGGAGATGATTACGGTTGCACCGATCTTCTTAAACGTGTTGGAGGCGTTCTCGATGTACGCGGGGAAGGTGAGGATGGTTTCGTTGACGCCATCGTATTCCGAATAGCATACTTCGGAGCCCGTGCCGGAACAGTCGGTACGGCCGTTGTCGCTGGTTGAGCTGAGCGTGCCACCGTCGTTGTGGCCGAACTCGATGATCACATAGTCGCCTGCTTCAAGCGTGCTGGCGATGTCGTCGAAGCGGCCTTCGCGCGTGTAGGACCGAGCGCTGCGCCCGGCTACGGCTTGGTTGGAGACGGTGATGCCGCTTGAGCTGCTCAGGTATTGAGCGACGTAGTCACCCCAGCCTGATTGATTGATTGTTAGTTAAAAGAAGCGGTGATGGGTAGGAGGGAGGTACCAGCTGTGTCGGAGCCACCACCACCGCTGGCCATGGTAGAGTCCCCCGCCAGGTAGATGGTTGTGGCGAGGGAGGCTGGAAGAAAAGTCAAGATGGGGAGGCTGGAGACCTTCATTGTGGTTGGTTATCTCATAGACTAAGGTGGGTGATTGAATTCGTCTGAAGATCACAGTGCTTGCAGAGTAGGGTTGATATGAAGCGCCAGCGCTTGACGAGCGCATCCATCCATACGTGGAAAAAAGTGTAATATCGGGCTTTGATGCACCGAGACTTGTCCGAGTCATCCCGTCTGCAGCAGCCATGGAAACGGAGCTGAAGTGGTATGTCCGTGATCTGCAGGGACGAGATCGACATGAGTTGTGTGATTGTTTTAACTGCAGGATGCGGAGTGGGTGAGGGGAACTGGTCAGCTGGATCCCCGCATCTGACACGCAGCAAAACCCGTCACAATTGTCCACACATATTGCTGCGTCTGTGATTCCATAGGAAAATTTCCCTGTTCGGAGAAATCGTCAGGGCGCAAAGTGAATAGGCCGCTGGGCAACTGCTCTCGCAAGAGGGGCTCTATGTAGGTTGACATCATGCGTTGGCAAAGCCATGGGGATAATTCAGTGAAGAGAGGAGGTTCTCATTAAGGTATAGAATCACGCAACACCAAATCCATGTGTTCAACACGCTAGCTCCTGGTCTATCGCTGGCAACGGGTGATCCCATTTTACGGCCCCCAAGAACGGCTCCGTAGCAGGGGCGTACCCCAGCACAGGGCACTGCTTTATCGCACGTGCGCCCAGAAAGTTGATCAGAAATCCTTCAACGACCTCCCACGACAGGATGTACCGCGATGCAAGGAAGTACAGCGTGTTGGCCCACGCATGCAACCGCGTTGTCCTCGCAGATTGTCCCGCATCCGAACGAACTGGCCCGGCGCGTTCTTCTTTATATCCGTCGAATATCTGACCGAGCGTGACAGCGTCTAGCGATCCACCCGCTGCGCTCTGCAGCGCCTTGTACAAACCGTTGCACAGTACCACCACGTCCTTGATGCCATTATTGAAACCCAGTCCAGCGTTCGGGGTGTATTTATGGCATGCGTCTCCTGCGAGAACAATCCGTCCCCACCCCCAGTGCTGGAGAATGCCTTCCTCCAGATTGGCCATGCCCAAGGTGAACCGCTCCGTGTACACGTCTCTCACCTTCAAAGTATCGGTTATAGGGAAATCGGCAAACCGTGCCGCCATTGCCTCAATATCTTCCGTCGTGTAATCTACCCGATCGGATGTTGGCTGTGGCAAGCGCTCGTAAAGGAAGATCCATCCACGATCGCGCCCGGAGAGGTACATGACCGAATAGTCCTTGCTTTGGGTTTCAGTGGCATGCCCGACGTCAGTCCTTCGGGGAAAGCTGCACCACAAGCATTTGTACTCGGCTTTGAAGGGTTTTGCGGCATCCCAGCTGCGTGTGGGGTCCGTGGCCAGGGCGAGTTGGCGCATCAACTGCCGGGTTTTGCTGTGAACGCCGTCGGCTCCAAGGACCATAGATCCTTCGAACGAGGTCCCATCAGCGCAGGTGGCTCGAACCCCGGTGTCGCTTGACTCGATATCGCTGACTCTTTTACTGAATAGGTATTTTGCCTTGGCCTTGTCCGGAAGCAGATTGTATAGGGTCTGGATCAAGTGTGCGCGATGGAACGCGACCGGGGCGATGCCATGACTGTCAGTGTCAGTATTCCGCAGGCATCAGCGAGCGAGCTGGCAGATAAAGCGTAACGCAGTACATACTTTTTCCGCATGATTTGGAAGGGATTGGTATTGCGGAATACCTGTCCCTCTCGTGTATACGCCTGGACCTGGCGAAGTTCCGCACCAATGGCTAATACTTGGTCGAGCAGACCTAGCTGGTGCATAATTCGCAGAGATGGGGCCCCAAGGACCAGACTGGCACCTTGATCGTGGAGTACCGAGTCTCGGCGTTCGAGCACGACAAAGTCGATGCCAGCGCGGGCGAGTGCATGCGCCGCAGTAAGGCCGACCGGGCCACCGCCCACGACAATAACCTTGAAAGGAGAGACGGACATAATAAAGCCAGAGGAAAAGAACCGATTTTTGTCTTGATTCATGGGGAGAAGTGGCCAGGAACGTGGACATCTGTGGAATTCATATACGGACTACCAGGATGTCGGATCGGCTCTCGTCAATTCCGGACACCCAGACATGGCTACGTAAGGTCCATCCGCTTGGCTCGGGAGATAGCGGCTGGTGCTGGAATACTAGACATATGGGGAGCAGACAACCTACAAGTCAGGGAAGTGTAACATGGCAACATATGGTGGGCCTGGGAGGTATAGGGATTCGCGATTGGGCCGAGAGTCAATCAGATCATCACAGATGGGACGGGCTTCTGATAGAATCCACCATCGGGCTGAATCTCCATTGGTGGAGGAGTGGATGTCAGGACTCAGGAGGTTGACCCATTGGCGCAATGATCGGCCGGCAATTTGGGAAATGTGTACATGCAGAGTATTATTCTCGAGCTGGTGTGGCCTCTCATCGCCAAGGTCAACTGGAGTCTCCGCGACTGTTCTGAATTATAATCGGGCGTGAAAGGAGCGACTCCAGACGGTCGGCCATTCTGTAAGCTGATTGCGAGTCAAGATGTCAAATTTCGGCACGACTGAGGAGGGAAAACGCATGAGAAGGAGCTGGCTCTGGTACCTATAGGGTACGTAGCTTGAAGCTCAAGGTTCAGAACGGGTCCGGGCCGCGAATGCTGGATAGTCTCTGTGGGGGTCTCTGTGCTTCTGCAAAGCCCGAAGCCCGCTGACTCATAGGACATAGCACAACTAACATTTAACTAACTGACCGATTCCAGGCAGTTGGGAGTCGGTGGTGGTGATAATGATTGGTGTAGTGGGGATGGACGGGAAACGGTCGTCTGTCAATTCAAAACTCGACTTTTGTGCAAAGAACATGAAGTATAAACAGGTCGGGGTACTAGTCGGATGATCCAGCATCCGTGGTCTAACCCAAAGTGGTTAGCTCAAGTAACTATTTGAATGTAAATGTACTGCCGTGTTCCGCTTAGTCATGAATCGAGGCCTGAATTGTCAGGCACTACTAGGATTGCTATGCAATGGAGAGATCTCACCAGAAGCAGAGATATCCTCAACAACAAAGACAGCCATACAAATATCCCGTATCAGATCAAAATCCTCACTACCTGTAGTATGCAGAAGGCTGCCAACAGTCGCTGTCGAGGCACATCAGATCACGCAGCCTACCAATATCATGGAGTATGGCACCTTCCACATCCTATCTCAGAAGAGAGTGTGCTCCTTCTTCATTTCCATATATGGAAAAATCGGACCTGAATACCACTGTTCCCTACACGAGCACCCTGTGAAGCTCTGGTATGTCTGATGGCCTATACCCCCTACCATCCCATCTCTCCCCTCTTCGATCCCCACCCAGAATGTCAACCGACATCAACTACAACGACCCCCTATCAGGAAATAACATCGATAACTTGATAGACCAAACCCTTTACTCCAAAGGCATACAGACCACTCTTCGTCATGAGACACCGCTGGTATTCTACTCCTCACCATTGTCCTGCCCCATATTGAACTCTACCCCATCACCACAAGCTGACATAGCGACGCAGATGAAGGTATATGGCATCAGATTCGACTTTACTCACCCAGAGGCCGATCGCGACTACATCGACAGCCCATATCAGTCACTCTTCATAGCTGTCAAAGCAGCCTTGGCACTTGCTAATACGGATGCCTTCACTCAAGTATTCTGCCTATGTGGAATCCATGAGGAACATTGCAAAGGCCCGTTTCCCCCAATCGAAATGGTCATGTTGGAGAATCGCTCGTCGGTCTACCATTTTCATGCCCATGGGAACCTCTCCCAGCGATTAGTTATTGTTCCGGAGATACTCTTGGACGGAGTGTTTGCAGAATCAAATGACGTTGATACACAGAGACAGCAGAGTCTTGAATGACCGGTAGGACTAGTCATGGCTTATCCTAGATTTATTCTCCCGTTGCTGGGACTTTATGAAGGAACTGATGAGAATACCTTTTTCTTCTTGATTGTGATACTTAGAGCAACCACAGCCTGTCTGAAGGTTCTTCCTCTTGCTGTCCCTCTCACACACCGTCAAAGGCTTGTGAGACGGTTACTGGGAGATACCATGAGCCAGCTCGATGGTCTAAAGCAGCACACTTATTACCCCGGCTCTTGAGTTGGTCTCTCCGCAGTTTAGATCGCTAGTGTAGAATTACCCATATTTGTATTATTTACATCAACACGATATTCACTAAACTGCGCTATGTAATAGGTATCGAACAAGTGCCCACCGGAATCTGCAGAGGATCCCGTTCCCCTGCCGACATATGATTAATTATACTTGTAGATGGTATCGTGCAAAAGAAAAGCAGCTCATTAGTCATGTCTCATAAGGCCACCATCCGCTGCCCATACTTAGTCCATCTCCTCCAACGCCGCCTTGACCAGCCCGCGCTTCTCCACCCGCTGATAGTACTGGCCTAGGTTTGGGTAGCGCTTGTCCGAGAGTAGTGTTGTCGACCGCGCAATTTCCCTCAGAACGGGCCACAGCGCGCAGTCATCAATGCTGAACCCAGCGCCGTCCAGGTAGGTCTGCCCGGTCAGGGCCTGTTCCCACCGCGTCAAATCGAACTCGCCAGATCCCTGGCGTTGTGAGTCGCGCCAACCGGCCAGAAGATCGTCGATAGCTGCCAGATGACTTCCCCCGCGTAGGGCATCAAGCTCTGGTCGCACGAGCTCTGCGGCGTGCTGCGCAAAGTGGGTCAAGATGGTGACGTCACCAGCTATCTGGGTTCCGTCAGCGGCAACATAAAGTGGCCGCACGTCGTTTTCTGGGGTGCGCGCAGACATTGATTCGGTTTCGTAGCGGATTCCATTCTCGCTCAGGCACAACCGCACCCGCAGATTAGCCACGGCATCCGGCCCAAGGATGAGCTTGGTTGTACCCGCCGTGACAAAATTGACCACGTCGAAACCGCTTCCATACACCTGCTCCCAATCGAACTCTGTCGCGTGGTTCTCTTCTCCGAATGCCCGGGTGATGCGCTCCGTCTCGCTTGCATCTCCATGAATTACTGGCTGTGCCTGCTCCTGCGACTTTGACACTGCGCCCTGGCCCCAAATGGTGTCGCCGGCTGGGTTAAGGAACGTGCCAATGTGACGGAAGGTCAGGGAAATGCGCTGCCCCTCGTATGCGCGCTCTTCCATCGACTTCTCCGCTTCCGGCCGCTTGTCCGGTCGGATACCGTGAAGCCACCGCCGGTTTGTTTCATCTCCAAGGATAAACAGGGATTCGTGGGGCATGGGAATACGTTGTGTCTGTCGGCCCGACTCTCCACCTTCTGCGGCACCCTTGGTACGGAGAATCATGACTCGCTGAGCACCGAGACTAACATTGCAGATTGAGGAACCTCGGACGATATCAAGGGTCTTGTCGGAATGCTCGGAGATTCGGTCTTGCCCATCCCGGTAGAGCTGAATGAGCGCATGGTTCAACGGGTGCCCAAGAATGCGCTCCACAATCGCGCGGACCTTGTTCACTGTGGCCGTGAAGGGTTGCAGTGGTGGCGACTCATCAGCCGGATGGCGATAGATAGGTATCGATCCGTCCTCTAATGCTTTGCCTTGCACCGCTACTAAACGGGGCACCTGGCCTGACAGATGATACATCTTCTGCCATGACACCTCCTCGCGGATCTTCTCGAAGGCCTCGGATGGTAAATCAAGATCATAGATGATACGGGAATCTCCCTCTCCGATCACGTCGCCCGGTCGGTATATGTCGGTTTTCTTGGACTTGCCGCTGCGTCGCTTGTCCGACCGAGACGCAGATTCTGTCTTTGCATCTGGCCGTTTTGAACGTCGTACTCGAGCGCGAACCTTCTTCTCCCCCGACCCACCGGGCGTCGCTCCACGAGCTGAATCCCCATATCGAGCACGTGAACGAGTCAAGGAAGCTAGCTCTTTCAGGTCTCCATCCTCGTTATCGGTGAACTCCGCCAAAATATCATCAATCCTGCGGCGTCGGCCGCCGCTTGATCCTGATTCCGGGCTCTCCTCCTTCGTCGTGGGGGAGGCGCTCGGTCTCACCTCTAGTTCATCCAAAACATTTTCGATACCGGCGGGAGTAACTGACTGCAACGGGCGCGGGCTTCCTTTGCGCGCAATCTCGTCTGTCTCCTCCCAGTCCAGCTCTTGAAATAATTCCTGAGTTGTAATACCATTGGCTCCGAAGATGTCAGCCATACGGCGCATCGCCTCCTCATGGCGCGTAAAACTGCGGAACCCGAGACAGTCTTCGATGAGTGTTACAGTGAAACCATGACGCACGGCATCAAGGGCTGTGGCGTAGACAGAGGTGTTGGACAGCGACCCACAGAGATATAATTGGGTGATAAATCTCGTGCGGAAGTACAGAATTAGGCCTTGATCCTGCAGGGCGGAGTATTCAAACTTGTCGACTAACATATCCGCCTCATTGTCAATGGCAGCCAGGATTGGGGCCGGAAATTGTGTGCCAGTTGATTGGGGAATACAGCATCGTGGAGAGTCGGTAGAGAGGAAGGCTTCTTCATCAACGGGTCCGGCACGATCGGCGGCGGAGGGATCGAATGCATCTTCGTCAGGAGTCTGCGTTCTGGTCTCTCGGTCCATGCGACCGAGCACGATGAGGTCCTGTGCGTCTGTCGGGCTGATCAAGGGCTGTCTTTCTTGGTAATGAGAACGCACCCACACCACCTCACCATTGCGCCGAAAGGCGGTCGCAAGCTGAGGCAAGAGATCGAGAAAATCGGCGGTGTTGGAGACGTGCAACGCGCCATTCGGTCGTACAAAATCATTCTGGAAGTCAAGCAAAAGAAGGGCCTTTCCGGTGGCGATCGCGGGTAGGTTGGTGAATTGGGCAAAGAAACTCATTGTCTGCACATGGTCATTCGGAGGCGGACAGGAGCGGGGGAATCGATGCGGTGTGGACGGCAGATCGACTGGGGAGACAGTCGGAGGCCAAGGTTAGGGGAGTGGACCAAAGTGCATGAGAATGAGCAAGGGGGGAATGATGAAGAAGGACGGGGATGAAAGGATGAAGAGGCAGCAGCGAGAGAAGAGCTGAGGAAGAAGTTGTGAAGCTGAAGATGTTGGGGGGAATTCGGGGATTGTTTGGCCTGTTTGCCGAGCAGCCTCAGGCAGCGGGGCCGAAACCGCAAACTCGTGACTGCTGCTCGGAACCCTTTTCCGCCGGCCGGCTTATCCCGCACTGTTCCCCGAACTCACCCTATACATTTAGGACACAATAGACGCTACTAAGTAACTATCGATCTCCAGAGTAGGATCTACACACCACTATTTATTTCCGGCCTGCTCTTGTGGCACTACTATTGACACATCAACCCTCCCTGTCCTTGGTCTCAAGTCTCAGTTTACTCCAGCCGGAACTCATGGCAGGTGATCTTTCAGCAAACGTCATACGTCAGCATCATCATCACAGCTGCTAAAAGTCGACCTCGGCTTATGTGAATAGTTTGATAGACTGACTACTAGTTAAACAGTGAGTATTACGTCATTCAAGATGGCGTTTCGTCCGGAGTCTTCCATCCCCATCAGTCCAAGCACATCCTCACTACATCCACCTGGATCTGCGGTTATAAGCTTGTGGAGAAAACGCATGCAGAACCATCACCTTGTACTATTTAGACAAGTGCAAATGTATGAATTATAGACCGGGCCCTCTATATGTACGCGATGGAGGCGTATGCCAGTGAATTGGGAAGGTGGTCTGATCTTACCCGTGCTTATCATAACTGGCTAGATAGTGCAACCCTATCTGGAACCACTTACATCTAGCACTTCATGCTCATTGTGGGATACGCCGGTAAGTACTTCATTAATTTCCGGTTTTGAAAGGGCTATGGATTCGGGGGCCTAGTGAAGATCCACCTCCTATTTAATCCCTCAACTAACGAACGTCATCATTGGAAACTGGGATACCGATAGCTGACTGGCCACTGGAAAAATCATATCTATCCATCCCGGCAGGGATCTTGTTCGCGGGCTTACTTTACTGTTCTGAAGAAAGTCAAAGCAAGGGGCTATGGTGGAAAATATACCCAAGTTACACGACCTGGGAATGAACATGTGCTGTGTGACCACAATGATGAAATATACCAATTTATCAATTCATGATGAGAGCTATACTGTAATAGAGGCGTGAGGAGTGCAAGGCGCTACAGTAACGAAGACTGGGATAAACTGGTAGCAGCTGAAACCTACAATCTTATGTCCATCGAAAACACAGTCAGATGGTCTAGTACGTATCTTGAAAGCCGTATGTTGACTTGTAACTTGAGCCTTTCAGGTTCACAGCATCCAACTCGGGCCGTTGGCCTCCGGATATTCCTCCAGTCACACGTATCAATTTTCACGGATCTTAGCCTTAGGGCTTCAGGGTTGGCAACACAAGGTAAGGGATTCTTACACAAACATTTCCCAGGAATTTGAATCCCTTCTTTCTCACATCATCCGTGGCGATATTCGACTTTCGATTGGATCTACCAGCCCTTAAGGCTTCCAGGAGTGTCACAAGGACATTAAATGCCGGCAGCCTTTCTGCTGTGCAACCAACGAAGCAAGTCGGCCCTATCGCAGTTGATATCTTTGTGTACCAGTGACATAGCTGAGTTATGACTTATATGCTGAAGCCTTTCCCATTAAGTACGTCGATCTGAAAGTCTATATAAAATGGTACAGCTGAAAATAGATTGTACCTGGCACTCTTCGGCACCTCATAGGTTTGCCGTGAGCAGTTGGCCAAAAGGAGAACATACAGGACCATCCAAAATAATTGGCTTTATAGCCAAACTCAAAGAGCTTCCATTCCAGTCTCCCCGCAGTATGGCTGGTACTAACTAAGAATCACGTCAGAGTAGAAGTATCGACGATGCTTATCTTCAGCAGAAGCGAACGTAAACGGCTCGCACTTTTGGTATGTTAATCTTGACCGTGTGGTGTATTTTTCAGGCCGGAAGCTATACCGCAACCGCATCTTATGTGTAAGTTTTTTTAGGGGAGCGGGCATCAGTACTGATATAAATACTCGAGTGCAATTCCATTATCATTTTCATCGAACATTCCCTATGCCGTGTCGGTACATACATAGACTTTCCAATCTGATTCATTCCTTGATGATATATAGTACCTAACTTTCTGGATTGTTCTGAACATACTTAATTTTTCTTTCGCTCGAAAGCAACCCTGTTGATAGAATAACCAACCATGGCCAATAACGAGTTGATTCACAGGCTTACATGGTCGCCCGCCGCACTGTCCGAAGAGCCGTTGAGCATTGAAAATGTGGTGTTCGTAGTTACGGATAAGGAGAGTGAAAACCTATTTGCGTACCAGATGCAGCTTGCTAACGAGGGTATCACCACTGTCGTTACCGATGATGCAATGAAAATTAACCCCTTGATAACCCCCGGGACTATCGTCGTTTACATCCCACCTACGGCTAAGAGTAAGGAGGAGATATATGCGGCCGCAACTCAGGCTTGCACCAGCTTGATCAACGTTGCACAACAGCTCTACCATCGCAGTATTTCCGCTAAGAGCAAGACAGTCAAGCTATTCTCTATCGTTCCAAAAGAGTGGGGCATAGGCGACCTCGTATACGCTCCACTGCATGGCCTGTCGCGGGTGTTGAAGACTGAAATTCCAGAAAATTATGGCGGCCTGTTCGAGGACGACCGCGGGCTCTTTCCGTTTTCCGCAGTGAAGTACGCACAGGGCTTCGATGTTGTCAGAATCTGCGAAGGCGAAGCACAGGTTGCTTATCTTCAACCATTTACAGATGAGCTGAGTGATAAGAAGGGACTTCAGCTGCACGCAAACAGCTCCTACCTGATCACGGGAGGCACCGGAGGTATAGGCCTGGCGACAGCAGCTTGGCTGGCGCAGCGAGGCGCCCGGAACATAGTACTTGTGTCCCGCCGTGGCCTTCCACCAAGCAGTGACAGCAAGGCAGTTGAAGCAAATAGCGCGGATCTAATCTCGCGTATTGCCAAGCTCAAGGCCGTGGGCGTTTCGGTACATGTGCTGGCTATTGATATCAGCAAGCCCAACGCTGATGTGACACTAAGCCAAACCATCAACGACTTGGATATTCCACCGATAAAGGGAGTCATTCACGCAGCCGGTACCGCGGGCTACCATACGCTAACGCGATGCACCCCTACTGATATTGCCGATAACTTAGCGCCGAAGGTGATCGGCAGCTTGAATCTCGACGCACTCTTCCCTCCCGGGACTCTGGATTTCTTTGTATTCACTTCTTCAGTTGGACAGCTTGTCGGATTTCCAGGAAGTTGGCATATGCGCCCTCCAATGCCTTCCTGGACGCGCTGGCGGCGCACCGAAGACGCCAGGGCGATAATAGCATGGCTATTTTATGGGCTGGCTGGCAGGGGACAGGCGTCTGGGATCAGAGCAAGTCAGCAATGCGAAGGCTCAACAAGGCCTCTATATCGAGGGGAGTTGCAGACATTAGTCCGGACGAGGCATTTGCGGCGTGGGACCACATAGCCAGCCTTAAGACTGACCACGCAGTGGTGGTGCGCGTTTTGGAACTCGATGCTGATGAGCCCGTACGACATCCTATGCTCAAATACGTTACACCTCGGAAACAAGCATATCAACCCACCACTATGGACTACAAGGACCTCCCTGAGCATGCCATTGCGGTGATAGGCATGGCTTGTCGTACAGCTGCTGGGAATACGGAGAATGATCTCTGGCAGGCCATCCTGGAGGGCAAGAGTATAGTGCGCGAGGTAGACGAGAAGCGGTTCCCCGGTGTGGTCCGCGATGGCAAGATGTGGGGGAGCTTTATGTCTGATATCGACTCATTCGATCATCAGTTCTTCCAGAGATCCAAGCGGGAAGCGGCTGCTTCAGACCCGCACCAGCGAGTGCTCCTTGAAACTGCGTACCACGCACTCGAATCGGCGGGTTATTTTGGACCGGGCCAACAACAGGGAGAAATTCACGACCCAGATAGCCACACAACTGGCTGCTTTATCGGAATGAGCGCTCCTGACCACATCTTACATTTGGCGAGCAATCCCCACTCACCTTACACAGGACTGGGCATGATGCGATCATTCGTGGCTGGCCGATTGAGCCATTACTTTGGCTGGACGGGCCCTTCACACACTATTGATACAGCTTGCTCGTCGGCTATGGTTGCCATTCACCAAGCCTGCCGTGCTATTCAGGTTGGTGAGTGCACGCAGGCCGTCGCGGGTGGTGTTCATCTACTTTTGAACATGGAAAGCTCTGACGCACTGCGTGCCAGCGGGTTCACCAACGAAACCGGGACCTGCAAAGCGTTCGACTCGCGGGCTGATGGGTATTGTCGTGGGGAGGGCGTTGGCGTTGTCATATTGAAGCATTTGGCACGGGCCTTACAAGATGGGGACAACATCCAAGGTGTGCTACTAGCCACCGGTAACAACCAAAACATCAACAACACTAGCATCACCAACCCTGTTTTGGCGAGCCAGGTGGCGTTATACAAAGATGTGCTGGGACGCGCGGGAGTCAAGCCAGCAGATGTCTCCTATGTCGAGGCTCACGGAACGGGCACGCGCGCCGGCGATCCTGTCGAAATCCAGGGTATTCGGGAGGTATTCGGTGGGAAGGATAGACCATCAATCTTGAATATTGGTGCGGTCAAGGCCAACGTGAGCCATGCTGAAGGAGCTTCTGGCGTGGTATCTCTGATCAAGGTGCTGCTCATGATGAAACACGGCAAGATTCCGGGGCAGGCTGAGCTACATGCATTGAATCCAAATATTCCGGCCCTTGAGCCTGATCGAATGGCTATACCGACGTCTCCGCGCGAATGGCGCGATAGTATGCGCCTAGCCGTGGTCAACAATTACGGTGCTTCGGGCAATAATGCTAGCGCTGTCGTTGCGCCGCCGCCTCTTCAGCAATATTCGGCATCGCCAACGCTCCCATCCGCTTCTACCTGGCCTGTTTTTATTTCCGCCGCTTCACGTGCTAGCCTATTGGCGTACTGCAATACATTGAGTCGCAAGATTATCGAAGAATCGCCTGCTCCTGAGTTGTTTCCTCACCTGTCTTTTGCTTTGGCGACGAGACAGAACCGTCAGCTCCGGCATCTCTTCTGTACATCAGCGACATCATGTAAGATACATACATGCCCTTTTTCTCGACTGCTTCTTGAGGTTAACAGCTAAAGTTTTGTACTCAATGCAGTGAGCGATATACATTCCCAGCTTTCCGACCCAGAAAAGCATATTGTCCTCTCACCACAACTAAAGCCCGTCGTGCTCCTTTTCAGTGGACAGAACGGTGATACCGTGCCTTCAGTCGGACCGCTATATGAGAGCAGTCTGTTATTTAGAACACATCTGCACCGGTGCGAAGATGTGATGCAGTCGCTCAGGCTCCCCAGTCTTTTCCCGGTTATCCTTCAAGGAATCCAAGGTGGAGCTGATCTCATCCTCCGGCACATTAGCATGTTCGCGATTCAGTACTCCTGTGGAATGTCGTGGATTAACTGGAGTAAGGCCGAAGGCTCTTTGCGGTCACTCCTTCGGTGAGTGGGCTGCACTCGCGGTTTCGGGCGCCATAACGCTCGAAGCTGGCATAAAAATTGTATCTGGGTACGTTTTCCTCGGTGTGTCTTCGGATCCGCAGCCCCTATGCTAAAAACAGTTTTTGTTTTCTTTTTTTCTTTTCTTTTTTTTTTTTTTTTTCCCGGTTCATGACTTTCGCTAACATAATTCTATATCAGTAAGCTGAAACTCACCCGACTCTTCATACCGAGACCTCAATTACAGGAAGGTTAACAGCCCGTAGGCCGAGCAGCTATCATCCAGGAGTTCTGGGACGATGATCCCGGGTCGATGGTAGCGATTGAGGCTGATCTCGTCGGTTCTAACACTACCCCAGAAAGACACTTAGAGCCGTTTTACAAGATCCACCCAGACATAAAGCTAGACATAGCGTGTTACAATGGGCCCAACAATTATGTTATTGCTGGTCCCACTAAATATATCGACCACCTCGAATCATATCTAGTCGAGAAGAAAGCCAGCGGCGAAAAGATCCGGTTCAAGGTCTTGAGAGGCATGTATGCGTACCATTCCAGCATGGCGGACACGATCGTCGATCAGTGCGCTAAGCTATCGGCTTCAATGAGTTCCAGGTAAGTTTATGAGATAGTCCCTGGTTGCACCATTCACTAACCCAATAACCCTGGGCAGGAGCCAATTTGAATCCTGTCACGAAACCGCTTGGCCGGGTCCTGGACCTAACGTGGTCGCCCGCAACACCCGTCAGCCTGTATATTTTGGCCAAGCGATGACACGCATAGTCGACCGTCTGGGTGCGTGTACATTCCTGGAAGCCGGCGTAAATGGCCCCATAGTCGCGATGGCACGGAGCGCGTTGCCACAGGCCCCAGCTCAAGGAAATCATACCTTCCTGGGCATCAATGGGAGGGACCTTGTGCGATCACTGGCCGATGCCACCGTCACGCTGTGGAAGACCGGGCAGACAAATGTGCAATATTGGCTTTTCCACCAATGTCAGCGGACGAGCTACCGGCCTGTGGCCCTGCCACCCTATCATTTCGAAAAGCACAGGCACTGGCTGGATTACCACGGTCTGTCTGGTGACAGAGATAAGAAGACTAAAAAGAACGGGCCAGAACATCCAGCTGTTTGTCCTCATTGTCAGAGAGACACCGCTGATCGTCCGTTTATCAAGCAAGACAAGTCTCACACCCAGAAGGCGGGCGAGTCGGTTTTCACTATCGACATGCACAGTAGGCGCTATCAAGATCTCGTCAAGGGTCACGTCGTGGTCGGGACCGCGATATGTCCAGCCTCAGTGTATCTGGAGCTGGCTGCGCATTCTGTTGCCTTATTGCTGAACAATAAGATAACGTCCAGCATAGTGGTAGACGACATACATTTCAAGGCCCCCTTGAGTTTGGATACGCAGCGTTCCGTGAAGCTGACACTGACAAACAAGCAACAGTACAGGTGGGGCTTTGAATTCACCTCCACCAGGAATGAAAGGTCAATCTTGCACGCTATTGGCAGTATCTCACTCAGAGATAAAAGCAGTGGAAAGGCCGAGGAAGAACAAGAAAAGAAAGACAAGAGGACCCGCATGATAAACCTACTCGATAATGATCCCGACACGGATGCTTTGCGCGGCGCCATGGTATATAGAGTGTTTGGTAATATGGTGAAGCACGCAGCTGCTTACCGCGGCTTGCGGCATTTGGTTGGAAAAGGCACCGAGGGCGCAGCGGACATCTCCATACCGGTGAACGAACTCGGTACCGTAGCCAGAACACCCAACGACAACGTTGTTGATGCTCTTGTACTGAACAACTTCCTCGAAGTCCCAGGTGCATATATCAATTGCCTGCATATCTTTGGTAGTGAGGATGACAGCAAGGCTTATATCTGTACGAGCTTGGGGTCTGTGGGCCCTCTGAATAAGCTCCCTGACGGCAGATATTACAGAGTATATGCGCAGATCGTCCGGCAGAGCTCCAACGAGGCAATACTAGAAGTATTGGCCTTTGACGCACAGACAATGGAATTGGTCTTGTCTGCAAAGGATATCAAATTCTCAGGGATCTCCACCAGCACTTTAACCAAGTTACTGGCAGGCGCGGATCCCAATCCAACGGTAAACGGTAACACTGACCCATTGCAAGTTGCGGAAGCGCCTGGGTTCAGCCAGCCGACCAAGCCAAAACCTGACACGCATTCTAACATGCCCAATGGAATCAAGACAGGTTCACCTGATGTGCTCAAAATAGTACAGGGGACGTTAAGCCAGACCCTTGATGTTCCTGTCGCAGAAGTGACCAAGGGGGCCTCGCTCGAGGAGCTCGGTGTCGACTCGCTAATCAGCTCAGAGATATTGGCCAGTATCCATGATGCTCTTCAAATCGATATTTCTGTCGAGGATTTTGCTGCAGCTACAGACGTTGCCTCACTATGTGAATTGATCTCTGCCCGGGTAGGCAGCGACGTGACCAATACGGGAGGACAGGACGATGAAGTTCTTCTGGGGCCAGAACATGTCTCAGAGTCTGCAGGGAATGGGCATTCCGACTGGCAAAAGACCGCTATCGAGATACTTGGTCAGTCTCTCGACGTACCGGTGGCAGAGATTCAAATGGATTCCCAGCTTGAGGAGCTCGGCGCTGATTCGCTTATCGCTGCGGAGATAGCCAGCAATATCAATGATGCACTGAATCTGACTATATCGTCAACCGACTTTGGCTCATTGTCAGATGTGAGATCGTTATGTGACCTCATTGCGCATGTTTCGGGGCGCGCGTCAATGCAAGGCGCTGCTGTCCTTCCAAGCGATTCCATGTCTGCGGTGAATAAGGGGGTAACTCCAAACGGCCATCCAATCACTCAAGATGAGGACATGAACCAGACACCAACGGAGGATAATGCAGAGCTAACCCATACAGTCTTCCAGAAAGTTCGCCGCGGCTTTGATTCTCATGCAAAAGAGGTCAAACTGGCAGGCTTCTGGGACAATGTATACCCACGGCAACTAAGCGTCGTGACAGCCTACATCCTCCAAGCCTTCGAGAAACTCGGATGTCCTTTCAAGAAGTTCAGTCAAGGAGAAAAGCTACCTTCATTACAAGTAACGCTACCGAAGTACCAAAGACAGGTATCGCGGCTATGGGAGATCCTGGAAGTAGCTGGCCTCGTCGAGAAGCACGGTGGTACTTTTATACGGGGTCCAGTGCCTCATGTACAAGATAAATCACCCAAGGAGCTTAGCACTGAGCTGATATCGAATTATCCTCAGTACACATCAACACATGATCTACTGGATCTACTCGGACCGCAACTAGCTGAGTGCCTCACCGGGAAAGCTGACGCCGCATCTATTCTATGCGATAATGATAAGGGCAAGAAGCTTCTTGAGAGCTTCTATGCCAACGACCCTGGTCTCCTTGCCGCCAGTCGGGTGCTCAGCGACTTTTTCTCCACAACCATGAAGGCTAGAACATCCGGCGAACCCTTTCGGGTGCTCGAAATCGGCGCTGGGTTCGGCAGCGCCGCCAGGCATCTCCTCCCACAGCTTCAAGCCAGCGGCCTGCGTTTAACTTACACATTGTCTGATTCTTCTGTGACACTTCTGGAGCGTTCCAAAGCGGCATCACAGGACATCGAAGGATTGGAGTTCCGCCAATATGACATCGAGGAAGATCCTCCCGTGGACCTGCTGGGACGCTGCCACGTCGTGATATCTAACAGCTATGTTTATGCGACGCGCAACCTGCAGAACAGCCTATTGAATATGCGAAAGTTGGTGCGGCCCAACGATGGATGCGTAGCGCTGATAGAGCCAACGCAAAAGCTGGCCTGGCATGACCTCGTTTGGGGCTTGCTCGATGGGTGGTGGCAGTTCGAGGATGACCGCACACACGCACTGCAAAGCCCATGGGCCTGGAGAAGTGCCTTACAGAACGCCGGGTTTGCACACGTTGACTGGTCCGAGAGCTCCAGTCGTGAGTCACGTACTGTTCGGGTGATTTGCGGGATGACAGCTGAACCGGAGAGGAAATGCCCGGCCGAGGCAACCTCCATGCTCATGCACCGAGGGACTTCTGCGTCTGGAAAACGGAATCTTTTCCTGGCCCCGGACGGTTTTGGTTCTGGAGCCGTGTTTGGCGGTCTGGGGCCGTTGCTCGGTAGCGTTAAAGACATTTCTGTCTACGCGCTCAATAGTCCCTTCATGCATAGTAAGCCTGATCCGGATGAGCCGCTAACCATTGAGGAACTCGCTGCCATCTACGTGGGCGAAATCAAGCGCCGACAACCTGAGGGCCCATATCTGTTGGGCGGATATTCTGTCGGTGGCGTGTTAGCCTTTGAGGCGGTACGACAACTTCTCGAAGACGGCAACCACGTCGAGAAATTATTTCTGATCGACACTGCATGTCCGACATTCGTCCGGTACTTTCCCGACGCCCTGGTCAAGTTTCTGGATTCCATCGAGCAGGTGCGCGTAGGGAATGGCAGTGAGTTCCGACCAAACCGCCGAGGCAGATTGGTGGCGAACGATCACTTCTTCTTGGCCCGGCAGCAGATGCGAGCATATCAGGTGCGCAGGCTACCTGGACGGAAGATGCCGCAGGTGGTGCTGATCTCCGCGAAAGAGGGTGCAGAAAAACAGGAAGAAGTGCCTCGCCCGGCATTTCTGCCGGAAGACGAGAAGGCCGTGGACTGGTTTCTGAATGATCGTACCGACGAGGGATGTTTTGGCTGGAACGAGGTTCTGGACGATATCAAGGTGGTTCGGGCCGACGGTAACCATTTCTCTATGATGTTGCCCTCAATGGTAAGTTCAACTCAAGCATTTCCACTACCATTATAATGGCTGACACGGAAGTACAGATCAGTGGATGGGGCGCGGATCTCGCTAGGATGTTGGACGAATAGATACTGCCAGTCGACAGTCTTTGTTGGACATGCATTATATAAGGTTAGAGAAGGAAGGAATTCAGTCGGATTAGACAATCCTAGCACCGCGTGATGTCCGGACACTGTCGTAAAGATGTGTTTACGTGTGCTCTAAACGTAGGAGCATAGATTAGTCGAGCAATGCAGCATTGTGCCAAACTGGTGATTGCCAATAGGGAGCTATCAGGAAGCGGGACTCTCATACCAACCACTCCTGATGTCTCTCTATCAATACAATGAATGAATAACCTAGTACATACGACCACAGGGTGTGGAAAATAGGGCTTCCCGTCCGCTCAGCCGTACTCAAGCCACACGCCGGGAGGTTAGTAGTTGGGTGGGTGACCACCAGCGAATCCCTTCTGTTGTATGTTTTTTTCCATTTTCTTTTACATTTCTATGATTAAAGACATTCTTAATCTTTGGTCCTGGCTGCTAGAATTATAATTTCCCTTTGCTCTGCAGAACTTGTCATATTATGTAAAGAAGAGTTCCGTGGTCCAAATGCCATGACGAGACTGCCTCGGTGGTAATGATGGTTTGAAGTGATGGATACAATATTTCATTTTCGTATTGTCATAGCTTGCCAGGATACTGCGAGGTGCCATAGACAATCCTGCCGGATGGATGCTTGTCGCTGTTTGAGGCAAAACACTTCCATTTGAAAATGCAGCCGTATGAGCTCCATGCCAAAGCGCCATTTTCTGGTGCATTGAAAGACTGTATCAGCTGACTACTTGATCGAATCGGCTCAATAATAGAAGATGAGGTCATAGGCCGATGGTTGGACAAAGACGCTTTCGTCTGGATGCTGTACGTGCAGCTGAGTCATCGTCGGCGCGTTCTGCGTCTGCACCATCAACGTCATTGCAGCTCAGGTGCACGTTGTTGTAGGTCGCTCAAAGCCTCTTGAAATAACTCGCCAGTGCGGCGTTGCTGATCAAAGCAACTTATCAAGAACTCGCGTAGCTGAGCCGCAGTTTCTGGTGGGCTGGAATCCATCTGACGCAGCAGAGTACTGAACACCTCTGCAGTGATTGGGGCATCCAGCTGCGTAACATTTGGGAAAGGTCTAGCTTCCGGAAGGTCGAATCCCGCCCGTTTGTAGACAATTCCCTTGCTGACAGGCCATATTCCTGAATTTCGCCAGCCCGTGAAGATGTTCGCCGGGTCCATGACATCCTGCCGAGAAACCCACCACAGCGGAACGAATGCATCCTTGCTTATGCGCAAGTTTCCGGTCTGTAAGGCATTCCGTAGTTCATCAGTGTAGATATTGGTGAATTTCGAGAGCGTCCCAACATCTAGTGGATGCAGGAGATGCGAGGTTCTTGGAGGGATGCAAAGTGGTATGATATGATTTTCCCAGCAGGTGAGGAAAAGCTCAAATGAGATAGGAGAAGAGTGTCCATCTAGCAGGAGCAAACGCGTGGCTCGATTCGATGATGTACCACGTTGAGATAGAGTCTTCTGAGAAAGCGCTGTTTGTGGTATGAACGTTCTACTCAACCACTTCAACTGATGTTTCTCATTGCTGAAGCCTTTCTCTTCACATCTCACATGTGCTTTCTTGTCAGGGATCATCTTTTTTCAAGAAGACTCGACCGCATTCCCCTTAAAAAATGACATAAGGAGCAAGTACCCGGCCACCCGTATTGCAACACTCAATCGTAGAGACCCAGTCTTCGCTGAGCGCGAGGAATCTACTGGCTTTATGTTGGAGTGACTTTTTGGAAATGTTGGTCTTCTGGGTGCGGCCTTGTGGAATCTCAAGCATGAAACCCTTTTCATCAGCATTCCAGATGTCGTCTGGGTGGATATCATACTGCTTTCTTGTCTTCTCGAAGAGATCAATAAAGCTGGAGATTTTATCAGGTTGAGGTTGCTTGGTTCTCTTATGATCCTCAGCATATGAGTCGATAGTTTCCTTCAATTGGGGATGATATTCTAGAAATCGGCGACCCCAGACTTGAGCAAGGGGCTTAAAGTTCAGATCCAAGGAATCGCATTTTCGTTTGTGTAGAGCATTTCCAGCTTCGCGGACTAGATGCGGCGAAGTCGGAAACCCTGATTGAAGCCATTGAACAATATATTGACAAACTCTAGGTTCATCTGCCTCACTAAGGTTTTAAGGATTCCCAAAGGTGCAGGCCACTGGCTCAGGGTCTTTCCGATAATACCGGGTATATAAAAGTGAATCCGGGACTGCGTAGCGCATTGCTGCTTCATGTAGCGAGGCAGTCTCGCCATTTCGTAAGCTGTCAATGGCTCCGTCTAGTTTTGCATCCAGTAGCGGGCAGTCAACTTCTCCTGATGGAGGGGGTGTCTCTTCTGAGACAAAGAGAGATCGCAGAGGGGAAGGTGCGCGGAAAGCATCGTCCAGTCTATCAATTGTGTCTTGAATTACATTTAGAATTAGTTGCGATTTAAAAATATAGTATGATCTACCTACCCCCCATGAAGATCACCGAGGCTTTGAAGGCAGACTGCGCGAGTTAACAACCGGGTTGATGGATGTTGGACGCGTTGTTTTGTACAACTTAAGTTCGCGTTTTGTCCGAAGGAAGAGCCGATATCTCACTATTATCCCCCTTGTTATAACATAACTATTTGGCGTAATATAACAACTAGCATCATTGGTCTAGTGGTAGAATTCATCGTTGCCATCGATGAGGCCCGTGTTCGATTCACGGATGATGCAAGCGAATTTCTTTTTTTTTTCCTTCTTCCCGTTACCCCTCCCGCCCGTCTCTTTCTTTTTCCTCCTTCATTAGAGTCTTCGATTCAACCAAAAGATTAATTCTCATCTTGTACAGAAACCACTGCCTACTATTATACTAGGTATTGGTAGTATGAGTTGGAGCCATCGAAGCGGAATGTAAAACTATCACGATGGTTTAACGGATGATCCAAAATATATAACGCTCTTCACACAACAACAACAACAACAACAACAACAATACAAGTTCGCACTACCTATCTCACAAACAACAGCAATCAATGCTTCGTATCTTCTGGACCCTGAACACACCACTTAACATGCTCAAACACCCTCCAATAAACATCATCCGCTGCATTCTTCCCGATAACCGGATCCAAATGACCATAACCCTCAGCCAAGAACCGACGATAGAGATGCTCTCCGAACCGACGTCTTAGCATCTCATAATCCCGTAGAGTCGACTCAGGCTTGAACACCTCATTGACCGTACCCGACATAAACAAGATCGGAATATCCTGCAGATTACGAAGATTCCGATCGGTGACGAGCGGACGCAGTTCATTGTCCAAGCACGCCCCATGCGTTCCCATGCGTGTGACATGCTCGAGGAGCTTGGTATGCGTATCTGCAAAGAACTGGCCAACGTTGTCGTGAATGTTAGCGTCGAGGTTGTTATGATTCCAACACAAGCCGAACGCGAAGGTGGTACGATGGCAATGTGTCGAGGTGCAGATGTCTCGACGGTTCTCGACGGGGTAAAATCGGAGGAGAATGTCAAGGACTTTATGGATGGATTTGTTGCCGTCGGGCGACCCAATTGGGTAGTGTGTGCCAGAGATGAACTCGTATAGCCGGATCAGGGCTGGTGTGGCGGCCTTCAATGAGTTCCAGTAGGCTAGGACCTGCGTCATGAATACGGCGTTGGCTGTGATACCGAGTATGTGTGTGCGTTTGATGGTGCCGTCTAGTAAACCCATTGCGAGTGCCACGGAGCCTTGGCAGTGGGCTATTATGTATGGCTTCTGTTTCTGCTGAGCTAAAATATGTTGCAACGCCGCTGCGATATCGAGGCGGCAGTCGTAAACAGTGCATTGCGCGGATGTTTTGGCGTTGCTGCCCCAGCGAGGAGTTAGGACGTAGCATCGACATCCACGTGCTGTGAAATAATCGACCATGTTGCATCGCAGATATGGAAGCGCAAATGTGCTATATGCCGCGTTACCGGTAACTCCTGGGATGAATAAGACTGGCTGAGATCCGAGAAATTCGCCTTTGATAGCCTCGTTGGTGTCTGGCAACGGCTCGTACTCTTGTAAGCGTACAGTGACTCCATCCGTTGTTCTAAGCATTGTTATATTGCAGGGCTGCTCTTTTGGACCAGGGGGAGGATGAGAGGAGCAGCGAGACTTGCGAGCCGGCGCAAAAGGTCGAAGGAATACCACGACAAGCTGGAGAGTGAAGTAGGCCAGGAAAATGACTAATGCTGGAACTAGTCTGAATCTGAAAGGAAAAGTTGTCCTGAATGTTCTCATCTGTCGTCGGAAAGACGGCCATGATATGCGGAGGACACCCGCTCCTACTTTCATCTCGTCATCTCGAGTGATATGAACATTGACCTTAGTGGTCGCCTCCCACATTCCGCGAATGGAGATTGCAGAGGTTGAATCAATCTCTTTGTATCCTTCGAGCTTGTAACTGATGTCTTCCAGTGAAAGAAGCTGAAGTGAGTACCTCAAAGCCGTTGACTCTGCTTGCTTTTCTGAGGGAATGAAAAACCGAATCCTGCCATCGACTACTCTCATCGGACCTCTGGATAGTCCACGACAAGCCACTGTTCCGGTGCATATGCCTTCATACTGTAACCCAAAAGTATCTAAAATTGTGAGAACCATGCCATGCTCTGCATCTGAAGACTCACCTATTCTTCGACAAATTTCGATGGTAAGAAACATGCGCATGGTGCACGACGAACTGCGACCCAGTGTTTCGCATGCGTCAGAGCCCAAATCATTCGATTGCATATATATGTGTCCATCGAGGACCTCGGAGAACTGCCACCCAATTGATAATGGTGCCTGATCCACCTTAGCCGCCTTCTGAAAGCCATGCTCTACCCTCCTTGATACCATCGGTTGCGAATAGACGCCGAGTCTTCCGTTTGGAGTGTCGGTATCAATGAAGAACTGTCGCTTTTTGGAAATCAAATCGATAGATCGCTCGGCAAGCGCGGTTATTGTAGCCATAGGATTCACGCCTAAGTTGTTAGCAATTGCAGCAAGCCTTGGGAACCTGTACCCACCCAATGCAGTTGGTATAACCGAGGCATCGCAGCATACAAGGCCTTCATGTGTCGCATTTCCATGGCCTTTATATACCTGGCCTAGATGATTAGTGACACCTCCACGACCTGTGCCAGTGCTACTCATGTTGGCACCCCCGAGGGGGTGGACAGTGACTTCTTCCCGGTCACGACCTAGGAGCACCTTAGCATGCTAAGCTAACACTGATGGGGATCGTACCACGCAATAGTGAAGATCCTATTTTCCCTCCTGCTCGGCTAATGACATAGCTCAGAGCATATCGGATGCTGGAAAAAATTTCAGACCGTCCTTCTCCAGGACCACGTAGAATCGGTCGATCGTCTTTCAAGGTGAGTGTAAGTTCGTTACTGTCGTGTGACATGACTAGATAGGTCGACGTGCGTTGCATAGCGCCCCTCACTTTATATAGTTTGAATGGAAGCAACTTGAATTTGGAAAATGTTTCCCCAAACCGAGATATGCTCTCCGAGATTGACCATGGAGCTGGAAAACGTATGGTTTGCAGCACAAGCATGGCTTGAATTAGCGGACTCAACGCTTTTGGTATGCAGCCGTCTTCAATTACATAACCGGCGAGCGCATCACCTGGGGATAACCCTCTTCGATCGATAACGCCGGTGACTGTTGGACCTGGTCGGTTTGCAGGGGCTGATGCCGCCTCTGAGATGCCGTTTACCTTGGAGTCGCTGTTGTATCCTGAGGATTGTCTTTAGTCATGGTCTACATCCATATAGACCAGGCTTACCAAAGACCAGCATGTCCCCATTCCCTGACATATTCCTTCCCACCATGGGTGAAATTGGCAGACCGTAGTCTCTTGAGCGAAGCAAAATCTCCGTTGTCCCCAAAGCGCCGGCCCCAAGGAAACACAACTCGTTCTAGGTAAATGACACCCTATAAGCGCAGGCAGAAAAATGCTGGTTACCAAAACCTACAGCTTTGACCCAAAACAACTGGGTCTTGACTTCTTCACCGAAAGCCGACCTCCCTCTCCCATGCCACGCAAAGTACACCACGTAGCCTTCTTGGTTAGGTGCCTGCTCTATAAACCGTACCTCGCATCCGCAAAAGATCTCAGCACCCCAGTTCCAGGCATCTGTAAGGTAGGTGGTAGCAACGGTGTTTTTGGATCCATCGTCTAGACCGGTACTTTCATTTCCCGAACCGCGATTCTCCTGCATCATGACGCCGACATGGTTGCGCTCTCGACGAAAGAATGTTGTCAGTGGCGTGCGGTAGAAACTTACTGCCTTGCCTAGCCATTCAGCTTGTGTCTGAATGGCTTCAAGCTTCAAAAGGCGTGGATGATCTTCTGGATATGGTGAAGGCTGTAGCATCTCTGCCGCGCGCGAGTAGTCTAGTTTGTAGACGTTAGGGACTATGAAATATGGTCCTCCTTACAATTCAATGCAGACTCACACGGTCGAAGTACAAATGTGTCGTTTCTTATCTCTGAGGGCCATACACTCATCTGTAGAGTCTCTCGGTCGGTTTCGAGGAAGACGCCTGCATTGATAAGTGAACAGCCACCTAGTGCTGTATATTGATTGACAGACGTTAATGCTAGATGTTCTCCATATGCAATTTCAAGATTGGGATCCTTTTCAGTCAAGGTTTACTTGTGGTGTAAGGTTGGCATACCACGAGCGACAAGAGCATGCTGCCCATCCCCCAGAATAAGCTGAAACAGGCGAGTGGGTTTGTCTGGCAACCGCCATCGGGAAATGCCCGAGATGTTGAGATCCCCAAAACATTGGAAGAGGGAACGCGGGAACGAGCCCGCTGCGGCATAACTGTCAGTAGCTGCGCTCCGATGGATCAAGGTTGAGGGTATACGCACGACGTCTCTCCCATCCCAACTCAAGGACTGCGACGCTCTTACCCGCTCGCGCCATTCGACTCGCCGCGACCCCAGCGCCATATCCAGACCCGATAACGACCACATCGTACTGGGTCTTCATCGACCTGAAAAGGCTGGTGAGGTGAGGGTAATCATCTGGTCGAGAACCTTCTTTAGTAGTCATGACTGGAGAAAGGTAACTAGTTTCGAGAGCAGGTGCTTTCGAGAGAGTAACGAGTTCTCGCGAAAAGGGTGGAATTTGAAGGTCCGTTTCGCTGTTGACTCATGCTTAGGCGATAACGAATTGTATTTTCTTTGGATTTGACTTCGTCACACACCACGCTGCCCTAATCAACGCAAAATGTCAAGGCACCCGGACTAGTAGGAAATACGACGGCGTGGCGGATAACGTGCAGAAGGATTGGCTACATCCCGCACGCAGTTGCAGGTGGCTGAGGTGGAACTTAGCAGCAACGAGAGCTCCCAATGGGTTTCATAGGGTGTATGCGTGGTTGTTTGCCAAATTCCGATTGTCTCCTGGGCTTTTGTCTTCCCGTTGGATTTTGAAGAGCCCAC